TCTCCCCTACGTCCAATGGAGCGCCTGAGACACAACTCCTCACAGAGCGCCAGAAAGATGTTCGGGAAAGGCAGCGTCAGGACAACACCGCAATGTTCCCCAAGCCTTCTCCCGCATCCAAATCTCCCCGGAATCCTGACCCAATGGCGAAAAGGATTGACCCCGAGGCGGATCATCTCACCAGTGAACCTCTTACGCCCGTGATTGCCGCAGAATCTGCCGCGAACGACGACGATTTCACTTTTTCTTCCCCAACTCCTGGATCAAAAGAGCAAAGCGGGCATGAATTGACTGGATTTTCTTTCTCAACATTGCCGCCTGACTTCGAGTGGAGTTCTTCTCCCGAAATCGATCCCACCACGGCACTCTCAAAGCCTCACAAGCGTAAGGCGCAGAAAAGCCCGAAATCCGCAGAAGGAACAGCTGACGAGGGCTTGCCAACTGCGTGCCCTGCCCCATTCGAAGACGATGCCAGGTCGAGAATGCCAACTTCCGTCTGTAAGCAAGACGATACAAGCGTCCAAAGTCCTTCATTTATGCCCATGGTTGAGCCACAACCACTATCTTCTGAAGAGACCGAATCCCCAAACCAGGCCACCACTGAGAGACTACCCTCGCCCGCTTTTCACGAGGCGGGGGAGCGTCTTGCGAACGGTAGATCAGACGTGGATCTTATTCCCGATTCTTTCAGCGACCTGCTAGAACAGCAAATCGCTTCTCAGCTGGAACAGGATTTGGAACTTTCTATTGATTTAGACTACACTCAGAATAAACAAACACCACGACCGGCGAGCACAGGCAGCAAGAAGCGAAAACGAGGCAATGTCGACTCTACTCCGAAAGAACGGGGAAAGCGAGCTACTCGCAATTCAATCGCTTCGATGGACAGCAGCAGGGTTGCAAGTCCGGAGCGTATGAAATTTGTTGATCCAAGGGATAAGGTACCCATGCGAGAATCACCAAGTCTCATTCACTACGGGGAGTCGCCAGAATCACAACCGAATGATCGCAGGCTGCGAAGACCATCCGAACCGAAGAGCCAGTCGAGATCTACCAAAGCAAGTGTGTCTAGTTCACAAGCATGTGCTCAAAGGAGGTCACAACGACTTCGCGGGAAGCTGCCAGCGGAAGAGATGGATACAGCATGTGACAGCAAAAGTGTAGAGAATGCTGACGACGTTTCGAAGGGGGAACATGATACCACTGCTCAGCACACTGAGCTGAATGACTGTGGTGAAGCACACGAGAGCCAGCGAGACACTATAGCAACCGGCGACGTTTACAACAAGTATGGGCCAGAACCTTTCAACGAGTCTATTTTAGGATCTCTCAGATCGGTCCTCGAATCCATCCGAGGAGTCTCCTTTGACCGCTCTCTTTTGCGCGAAATAGATGATGTTATGTTCGATATCAAGGTTGAAGCCCACGAAGCTGTAAAAAGGCATACTAATACGTGATGATTTCGGACGTTTGCTTTTACGGAGACTTTTTGTATTTTAGCTATTATGGCTTTCGGAGCTTTTTATTAGGACACCTTTGCTGGTCATCCTTCTGAGATAGTATGAAGCCCCAGGCATGCTATGAGGCTTTCACTCTGTATCGGCTTTGTATAACGCAATGCATTTGTATGGTGTAAATAGGGAATGACGAAGTTTGTACTCACATGTTTACATATGCCATTGTGCCAGTGCATGGAGAGGGAAATAAGTAGAAATGTTATTTTGACAGACAGCAAGCTGCGGTCTGTTGGTGAACTTGAGTTGTGCAGAGGCCTCTCAAGAATTGAAGTTGACTTCCAAGTGTTCATCTCTGTGAGGCTACCTCCCCATCCCTGAAGTCGCAGGGACGGATAGAAGTGTGACCACCCGTTCTCAAGCTCCCGTTCGCCTGTCGGACAAGAGATGCTCTGGACTCAACGGTTACGGCCTACCCCGCACTAAAATGAGCTATTAATAACCCGCTCCCGCCAATCAAACAGACCGGCCGGGTCCCCGCGCCGCACAGGGGCTTTTATTATGTCATTCCCCCTTTGGCCCCAAACGCGAGTCGCAGGACGATTGAACCCCTCCAGCCGAGACCTCGTTGGCAGTCGAGGTGTGTCTCTGCTCTTTTCAACCCGTCAATCTCGACTGACAACAAATCCAACCGACCATGGACCGCTCAAACAAGCCTGCCGCGATCCCAGTCACTTCCTCCCTTCCTCAGCCCTCCGTCACCGTCGCCGACGGCAATGTGGTGGCCTCGCTGCCGTCCGGGGAATCGGTGGTAGTGAACCTCTTTGGGGCCACAGTCACCTCGTGGAAGCTTGCCAATGGCCATGAGCTGCTGTTCCTGAGCGAAAAGGCCGTTTTGGATGGATCGAAACCTATTCGTGGTGGAATTCCGCTGGTTTTCCCTGTATGCTGAACCGCTTCCCTAGTTATTTTTTCGAGCCACACGTTGATAACTAGACAAGCTGACTCCGGGGCTCGGATTGCTCTCTGATAACTAGGTTTTTGGGCCTCCGCCGAAGAATCATGCCACATCTGCCCTGCCCCAACATGGATTTGTTCGGAACTCGTTCTGGGAATTTCTCGGGAAGTCTACATCCGAATCGGAGAGTGGAGCTAGCGTCAAGCTTGACTTTGGGCTCTCGAACTCCATGTTGACTGATAAATTTAAAAATGACTGGGCATACGAATTTGGGCTGGTTTACAGTGTCACATTGAGCAAACGAAGCTTGGAAACGTCGTTGCAGGTTCAGAACAAGGGGTCGAAGTCGTTCGAATTCCAGACGTTGCTGCATTCATATTTAGGGTTGAGGTACGGAATGATTGCGCATCTACGGAATCCCCATCTGTAGACTCCTTCAAAAATCCTAATGTTATATTTCGAACAGGACATATCCAGGACCCGCGTTCAGAACCTTCAGTCGAAAACCTACGTGGACAAACTGCGAAATGCAGAGACTTTTACAGAATCGTCCTCTGCAATCTCAATTGAGGGAGAGGTTGATCGTGTTTACCAATCACTTGACCCTAGCGTGCCAATAATCATCGGAACAGACTCTGCGAAGCCAATCTTGTCGATTACTCGTGAATCCTTGAATGATATCGTCTTGTGGAATCCGTGGATTGAGAAAGCCAAGGGAATGGCTGATTTCGCTCCCGACGATGCGTACAAGAATATGATTTGCGTCGAAGCCGGTTCTGTGGTCGGCTGGCAGACCCTTGAGCCCGGTGAGACATGGGAGGGAGGACAAACTATCGAGTGCAAGTTGTAAAGAGACCCATCCTTCCAGCCCCGCGTATAGTAGTTTATGTATGTATGTACTGCAGTTACATGCATTCAACTATGCCAGCGGCTGTTCCCTAAGAGCAACACATCCGGCAGGGGTAATGCCGGATATCCAGGGCTGGCTTCAGAAACAATCCTGCATCTCCACTACAATCCACCCATTACTGGGGAGCCTCACAAGTCGTGGCATGTCTCATCTGCCCCTGTTTGCTGTTTTGATATTCGCAATTCCACCTGTAGGTCTCACGCGTAAATCTTACCAAGCTCGTTACGTTGAGTGGAGCAGGGATCTTTTATTTCAACCAATAGAACTTCATAGTCATTTACTAGCGTTGTATTTATAGGACTTGAATGGCCGTATATTTTCCAAGGTATTTTCTAAATTCAATCTCACATCGCACATCATCACGACTCAACTTCAACACATGTTGAATCCCCATGACCAACGGAATGATGGTTACTACGATTGTCACGCTGAAGGCGGAGCCGACGCGCTGCTGTACTACAGCCCTGCAGGTGCCCGTAGCTATTTCCCATGAGATTAATAAGTCTCATCCCGCCATGAGTGGACAAATGGAGCCAACAGTCCCAGCTTTAAACTGACCTGATTCAATGGAACATTTCACTATTATCTTTCTCGCACTGGTTGCGATAGTTCGATCGCATCATGTAGCGTCTCCGCGACATGATAGGCCGATCGTATCCAAGCCTGGTGATAGAAGTATCATCCCTGGATGGCATCTCCAGTCAGAGAGAGATGCGTCCAGTGATATTATTAACCTGTCTATTCCCAGGACTCGCGTTGATTCCTGGTACCGCATTGGCCCGCGAGCAACTGTCATGGGTGGGCTGATCCAGGCTGGTGTTTACAACGAGTCAAAGCTATTCTACTCTGATAACTTGATCACCTCTGTCGACTACCGATCATTTGATACGCCGTGGCTGTATAGGGAGGAATTCTCCCTGGAACCGACCGATGACCAACATTACTTTTTACAGACGAATGGAATTTCGTCCCGGGCGGACATTTACCTCAATGGAGAACTCGTCGCGTCCAAGGACACCCAAATCGGAGCATACGGTGGTTGGAAATATGATGTGACGAACCATGTGAAAACAGGGCCCAATTGTCTACTTATCCGCGCTCACCAAACGAATTACCTCCGGGACTTGGCTGCCGGATTTATTGATTGGAACCCGTATCCGCCAGATAACGGAACTGGCATCTGGAGAAACGTTGAGTTTTTGCAGACTGGGCCGGTGTCGATTTGTTCACCTCGCATCGTCACCAATTTTGTGCATCCCGGGGTAAAATTCGTTAAAGTTACTGTCAAGGTGGAGGTACAGAATCATCAGCCTGAGAAAGTGCGCGGGCAGATAATAGGTTCCGTGGCCGAGGAAGACGGGGGGAGAAAGATACCGTTGGTCGAACCCTTTTATCTTGACCCGAATGAAAAGAAAACGATATCGATCATTATTGATATTGACCATCCGAAGATTTGGTGGCCTGCACTCTGGGGTGAGCAACCGCTGTATAGCGTCAAGCTTCAAGTGAAGGTTGGGGACAAAATCTCGGATGTTGCGGAAGAACGCAAGTTCGGTATTCGGCATGTTGCATCTCATGTCAATTCAAATGATGCTCTGGAATTCAAAGTGAATGGACAATATTTTCTTGTCATGGGCGCTGGCTACACTTCGGACATATTCTTGCGATTCGACGCCAATAAGCTCGAAACTCAGTTCCAATACATGCTGGATATGGGCCTTAACACTGTTCGTCTTGAAGGGAAACTTGAACATCCGGAACTTTACGAGATCGCTGATCGAATGGGCATGATGATCATGGCAGGCTGGGAATGTTGCAACAAATGGGAAGGATGGACCTACAATAACGAGGGCTTCGGTGAGGTTTGGAAGGATGAAGATTATTACACAGCGAATGTCTCAATGCTCCATGAGGCTGCCATGATGCAAAATCATCCAAGCATTTTGGCATTTCTTGTTGGCTCGGACTTTTGGCCTGACGATAGAGCAACTAAAATCTATGTTGATGCAATGAAACGCATGGATTGGCCTAATCCTATCATATCCTCGGCGGCTAAGCGCGGATTCCCAAAGCTTCTCGGTCCCTCTGGCATGAAAATGGCCGGCCCTTATGACTGGGTACCTCCGAACTACTGGTATGGAGGTCAGCTTGGTGCTGCCTTTGGATTTGGGTCGGAGCTAGGTCCTGGAGTCGGTACACCTGAACTTGAAAGTCTGACGAAATTCCTTTCGAAAGATGATTTGGAAGATCTATGGACCAAACCAAATCAAAATTTATTCCATATGTCCAAAGCTGGCTCTCAATTCCAAAACCGCACCATCTATAATAACGCTCTATATGCTCGATATGGTAAACCGAAAAATATTGATGACTACTTGCTTAAAGCACAAATCATGGATTATGAAGCTACTCGCTCCGAATTCGAAGGATTTGCTGCTGCTAAAAGTGCAGAAAATCGTTCGACAGGCCTGTATGTTCTCTTCATAGGTGACTCCTTCTTCTTTGCGTGAATACTGACTTCTCGTGAAAGCATCTACTGGATGTTAAACGGCGCCTGGCCAAGTCTCCATTGGCAGCTTTTCGACTACTACCTGCACAAGTCTGCTTCCTATTACGGAGCTAGAGTCGGCACTCGGCCAGAGCACGTTTCATACAACTACCATGAATCGTCTGTCTATCTTATCAACCACTCACTCACAGGACAAGGCAAAAGAACCATAATTTTGGATCTTATTGACGTTAACGGCACAAACCTTTCACACAAAGAGATTCAGACAGATACAATGCCAAACTCTGCGAAACGGGTGACCGGAGTGCCTGAGAGGAATGAGCTTAAAGATGTTGCGTTTATGAGGCTTCTACTAATACAAGCTGATTCAGGTGCAATACTTAGCCGCAACGTCTACTGGTTGGCAAGGGAAGACGATACTCTTGATTGGGGTGATTCCAGCTGGTACCATACTCCCGTGTCAAAGTACTCTGACTTCACTAGCCTTGAAAACCTGTCTCGCACCGCTATTAGGGCGGGATTTGAAGCAGGCACAGGTCAACTTTGGCTAGAGAATGAGACTGGTTTTCCTGCATTCTTTGTGCGATTTAACCTGGTAGATCAAAGCACGGGCGAGATTGTCACTCCAGTCTACTGGTCGGATAATTATATCACTTTGTGGCCGAAGGAGAAAATAGAACAATCTGTCAGCTACAACAGGACGCAATATCCCAATGTTGAGGTTAAAATCTCCGGGTACAATGTTTTGAGCTTTTCTATACTTCCTAGATAAACGGACTTTGTCTTGCAACAATGCTATACTCAATGTTATGAGCTCCAGTTTTCCTCCACTGCCGGTTACCACAGCCTAGGATTCAGCCTGACTTGGACGCAAACAATTCCGTCATCGCGGCAAAAGCGGCATATCTCAACCCGTCACGCTAAATGCTGGCTCGTCGCAACGATATTCAAATCATGATGTTTGTGCTGTTATTATCCCAGCACTTGGCCTAGCACTTTGCGAAGAAAAAGCCCATTTCCCAAATTCTGGGAATTCAGTACTTCATCTACTTTGGAGACCTCCCGACTGGTTGTGCGTTTCGGCAGTCGGCACAATCCAAAGCTTCCAGGCTTGGCAATAACTTTCATCCTTTTTTACCGCCATTTGAATGGGATTGCGCGCTGAATCAGACAACACCGTCACTACAGCATTTGACGATGAGGATAACAGCCCACACAGCAACGGCAATGACCAACGGCGGATGACCGATGACTATCGTCACAGCCAACCATCAAATGCCATTAACCTACCAGATGGCGGCCCGGGAGCGGAAGTTGACGATGCCCCCAAAACCACAAATGCCAACGCGATGAGTCCTCCGACACCACATCGTCCACTAGACCCTCCATTCCCCCCCTCCAACCGTAGACGTCGCTACTCGTACGATGAAGCGGGTGAAACCAACACCCTCAATACCGCAGAAACACCCAGCGAAGAACCAGTCTCGTGGCGCTCTCTGCCCAGGAAGGGCCAGCTAACCATCCTCACAATCGCTCGTCTAGCAGAGCCCCTAGCGCAGACGTCTCTTCAGGCATACGTGTTCCACCAGGTCCGATCGTTCGATCCGTCCCTCCCGGACTCCACTGTATCTGCGCAAGCAGGCGTGTTGCAAGGATGCTTTACTGCTGCGCAGTTTGTCACGGGGGTCATATGGGGCAGGCTTGCGGACACGGAATTCTTCGGTAGGAAACGGGTGCTGTTGATCGGGTTGCTGGGAGCAGGCATAGCGTCGATTGGGTTTGGGCTATCCAGATCCTTTGCGACGGCTGTGGTTTTCCGGACACTTGGTGGCGCGTTGAATAGTAATGTAGGAGTGATGCGGACGATGATCGCGGAGATCATTCAAGGAAAAAAGTAAGCGTGATAGGCTTTCGCCAAACATGCCTTTTGGGCGGCATTTCGAACGGTACAATCTAATGGGCGTATGTTAGGTACCAATCACGAGCGTTCCTTATTCTGCCAATGTGCTTCAATGTCGGTATCATCGTTGGCCCGATTCTTGGGGGTATTCTGGCAGATCCAGTCAAAACCTACCCGACCTTGTTCGGCCCGGGATCGCTGATGGGCGGTAAAGACGGCGTGTGGTGGATGCAACGATGGCCCTACGCGTTGCCTAATTTCGTCAGCGCACTGTTCATGTTCATTGGCACCGTTGCAGTGTTCCTAGGTTTAGATGAAGTACGGACCTCCACCGACGGAGAAGAGATCGAAGTAAACTAACCTTTTCGTGTAGACTCATGAGACAGTCAAGCATCGTGCAGACTGGGGTCGCCAATTGTGGAACACCATCGCGAAGCGTCGTTCCCCGTCTTACAGCTATCAACCGCTTGACGGGACATCTGAAGGCAGGGGAGCTGATTCCATTGACCTACAGGCGAGCCCCAGCGCAAACCGGACAAATGGCCTCCGTCGCAGGCGTCCTCCAACCCGTAAAGTCTGGACTCGAAATGTTTTTCTCACTCTTGTCACACATTTTATGCTTGCACTACACACGAGCGCTTTCAACGCCCTCTGTTTTCTGTTTCTCCCCACACCTCGAGCCCCAGGCAGCCGCAAAGGCATTTTTCACTTTGGGGCGGTTTGGGATGCCGAGTTCTCGCGTTGGGTTAGCAACGGCCATAAATTGGGATCATTGGGCTACCGTTTCCAGATATTCGTGTATCTCGATGGGCAGTTCCGTCTAAGGAACACTATCGTCGTTCAGAATATTCTACCATTTTCTCCGCTGGCGTACTCCTTAGCACCCTTCCTTGTCCTGCTACCAGATCAACCATACGTTATCTGGCCGGCGTTGTCGGCTGTAATATTTTTGCAGGTGATCTCAAGGACGTTCTCTCTTCCAGCCACTGTCATTTTGGTTAATAATGCTGTATCTGACCCCAGTGTATTGGCCACCGTCCACGGTGTGGCACAGAGCGTTGCAAGCGGTGCCAGGGCTTTGGGTCCTTTGATTGCTGGATGGGGGCTCGGGCTGGGACTGAAGAACAACATTGTGGGAGCGATTTGGTGGGCTTTGGCAACCGAGGCCACACTGGGTTGGGTTCTGACTTGGACCATTTTTGAAGGAACTATGGAGGAGAAAGAAAATAGCACAAGAGACATCCGTGCGGGTGGTGATGAGGAATCTCGAGGGTAATAATTAGCAATATGAATGTCAGGAGATGGAGTATTGATTTGTGTGATGTTTGGCCTAAACGAACTGTACATATTTGGCAAAGTCTGTAGGCACATACATAGATCTCGCACCAGTCCAGAAGAAAAAGCGAAGCTGGTCGCCTTGGGGGGTATTTTTTGATAAGGCTGTTTTTATCTATGATATATCCGTCTTGTTTTGGCTAGAAAGCGGACATAAAAATGAACCATTTGATAATAGTGCGACTCGAAGGGGCGGATTGTTGGTTCTGTTCTACTGCTCCAGCGCACAGTTGTATTTCGACAAGTCCCTTTGCGTCCATCTGGCATGTAAACGAAAGAAAGCAACAGGGGTTCCTCCAAAGATCCTCTCAGACGAACATAGATCGGCGCGTTTCACCCAGCAGAGGTTGGGGGAAGTATAAACGCACGTATCACCTTGGTAGTATCGCCTTCATGTGCCTTTAGCAGCTCAATGGCTTTGGGTTTGGTAAGATCCAGTTGTTCGACCTGCGTATTTCCGGGATTTCGCAGTTAAGCAAAGCCTCGCATGTCACAAATGATTCAAGGTAACCGAAGATTTCATCAAGTGTAAGGGCGAGCGTGTCAAATTACTCACCAGTAGGCTGACATCGTCCACCTTGATCTTTATTGCAGGCTTCTTGATAGCTTTCTCCTCTCCCTTCTTTTCAGGAGCGCTAGGCTCTTTCTTCCCAGCACCGGTGGCCGCTTGCCCCGCAGCGTCGCTACTCGCCGCCTTACCGGCCGCACTTGCAAGGGCTTCCAAGCGATTCATCGCCTTTCCCAGCGCCTCTTGATCTGCCTTTGACGGGAGAGAAGTGCCCTGCTGCACGTCGGCGTCATCTGTTGCAGCAGCGGTGGTAGATTTGAGAGAGGAGAGGGCGACGGCGGCAGCGCGGTCCTCAGCGTTGGCGGGGAGGTCGTCGGCGGTTGAAGCGGTCTCAGCCTTGGCTTCTTGCGAGGAAGTAGATATAGGCTCCGCCATTGTGGTCAAGTTAGCTCAATCGTGACTGTGCAGTGTGATCTGGAGAAGTGTTGCTTGCGAGCTTGTCGTCTGCGACTGTTGATTGAGAGGATGGAGGTCAAATGTTGATCCGCCCCGAAGGGCTTGCCCGCCATAGCCTGTAGCATCGCAGCTCGACGAGCAATTCTAGGAGTTGATGAAGCGGAAAACGAGTAGAAGCGCTCTCGGCGTTGTATTAAGCTATAAACGGAACCAGGTAACTGATATGTAAGATAAAGGGCGTGCAAAGCGCATGGGATGGCCGCTTCCGGCCCCTTGTTACCAGTTGCAGCCGGCCATGATCAAAAACTCCCAATTTCATACATAGTTACATTTCCCAAGGATTTGCCTGAAGAAAGTAGAAGTAAATGAGCTTGAAAATGCCATATATTTGAGAATAAATGGTTGATAGTTGAGGATCGCAACTCGACCCTCAAAAGTCTTCCTTGCCACCATCAAACTTTGCGCCGCTTCGAATTTTGACTGAAGCTCCCAGTCGGAAAAAAAATAAACGTCCAAATACTCCGGCGGAGACAAGAGCAGGGGTTCAGTTGAAAGCGGGAAAAAGGTTTGAATATTCCGTCGCATAATTTCGAATATCAACGCTTCTCGCGGGGTGAGTCATTGATGATAATAACTTGGTGCGACTTTTGACCTGCGAAACAAACGATTCTTTGAGCGTTTCTTTACTTTATCCGTGAGTAGAGAATATTCCGAACCAGTCGCCGATTTCCTGGGGATCAATTTCATCGGGTTCTTTTTTTCTGCGTCTTGGATTTGCCCGCGGGGCTATAAAATCTCCGCCACGGAACATACAAAATGGACAATAACTGGACTCCATCATGTAAGAATGTCATCTTGCCTTGTCGCACTCATTGCTAACTGTGGCTTTTCTCCCAGCCTGGGTATCAAAACCAATAAAGCAAGAGGTTGCGTATGAGGACAAGGAAGCGTTCCAACATGCGCTCCAGAAACTGCAGAGATTACCACCACTAGTCACTCCGTACGAGGTACAGTACTATAATCTAGCTTACTTGGTTTGTATGGCTTGCTAACCTGTAAATAGGTTGTCAATCTCAAAAACAGTCTGAAGAATGTAGCGCTCGGGAGAGCGTTTGTGCTTCAAGGGGGTGACTGTGCGGAGCTATTCGATTACTGCAATCAGGATATGATTGAAGCCAAAATCAAGCTGCTTCTGCAGATGAGCTTGATTCTGATCTGGGGTTTGTCGCTGCGGGTACCTGCAATGGGAAGGTCATGGCTAAAATCATCCGCACAGGAGCCAACAAGCCAGTTATTCGAATCGCACGGATTGCCGGTCAATTTGCGAAGTAAGGAAAACTTCACATCTTGCTATAAGCCAGTCCAGGTTGCTGATATTTGCCAGGCCACGATCAAGCCCGCTTGAAACGGTGAATGGTGTGACAATGCCAGCTTTCCGTGGTGATAATGTCAATGGCTTTGATGCCACTCCAGAATCTCGCAAACCCGATCCATCCAGACTGGTATCAGCCTATTTCCATTCCGCTGCAACGCTCAATTATGCGCGCAGCACATTATCGTCCGGTTTTGCGGACCTCCATTCCCCGCTGGACTGGGGCCTTGGACACGTCGCAACCCCTTCAATCAAAGAGGATTATGAACGGATCGTCTCCCGGGTCACCGACTCCCTCCGATTCATGCAAACAGTTGGCCTCGACACTGACCGCGGAATCGAAACCGTAGACTTCTACGTCAGCCACGAGGGCCTTATGCTCGAATACGAGCAATCCCTAACCAGACTCTTGAAGCATCCCCTCAAGGCCCTTCCCACCCAAGACAACAAAGACACACCGCAACTCCTCAAAGTGCACCCCAAACCAGCACCAAGCGGATACTACGCAACGTCAGCGCACTTTCTCTGGATCGGCGACCGCACCCGCCAGCTCGACGGCGCACATGTCGAATTCTTCCGCGGCATATGCAATCCCATCGGGATCAAAATCGGCCCGACCATGCAGCCCGATGAGCTCGTCTCGCTCCTCAACGTCGTCAATCCAGATCGGGAAATCGGCAAAGTCACCCTGATCTCCCGCTACGGTGCGTCCAAAATCGCCGAGTACTTACCGGCGCATATCAAAGCCGTGCAAGCCTCGGGCCACGTACCCGTCTGGCAGTGCGATCCGATGCACGGAAACACGCGTGCTACTCCATCCGGAGTGAAAACCCGGCGCTTTACAGATATTCTTTCAGAGCTGAAACAAGCGCTGGAGATTCATCGCTCTCTGGGTTCCTATCTGGGTGGTATGCATCTTGAATTGACCGGCGAAGCTGTAACAGAGTGTGTTGGCGGAGCAGCGGGTTTGACCGAGGACGGGCTGAGTGAGCGGTACGAGACATTCTGCGATCCCAGACTGAATGAAAAGCAAGCCTTGGAACTGGCCTTCCTAGTTGCGGGCTTCTATCGAGAAGAGTTGGAGGAACCAGTCACAAATGCTATTTAGTTAAAAAGTACATTCACACCGTCATTCTTTGATCTGGGTTTCTCTTTATCAGTGTTCTCGGGTTCGGCTTCATGCATTTAAAATCTGCATATCTTCCCCATCTGTTTATAGAGAAAGATTTGGTAGAGCAAAAAATGTATTTCCCGATTATCAGCCAACATTATAACCAAAGTTCGCCGCCCAATTATCCAAAGAATAATAGTACATTCCGGCACCTTGAAGTAGAATGCCGATTCAAATGAACGGGGTAGATATTGACCTTCCAAAAACGCCGCCACAAGGTCATCCTACGTACAGCCAAACAAGCACAAAACACAGCTTCCCAACACTAACTGGACTTCTATCCGGTTTCCTATTCACAGGTGCTTACCCAGAGGACTTCCAATTTTGGGCTTCCAAATCAGACTCTTTCTCCTAGCCGCATCAAGTCTGATTTTCAAGGAGTTATCCATAGCTTCAACAGTCCCTTTCATAGGAAACAATCCTTGGCGTGACTGCTTTGATGGACAAGTTTGTTGGATCAATTTTGCTCCCTGAGACAAATAGTACGGCGTTGTCGGTGACATACCCGTTGCAGGGTCGTAATCGTAATCATAATTATATCCAGGGGTTGCCGGTGGTGGTTTAGAAGAGATCGATGGACGGGGTTGGCGCTTAGGTTTAGGGGTCGAAAACGTATCTTCAGCGTCGTTGTACTCCGACTCCACGGAACTGCCCCTTGAAGACTGTGGAGTAGGGGTTGGGGAGAGCCTCATAAACTCCTCAATGGTTTCTGGGTCGACACTAGAACGGCTACCCGAAGATGAAGTGGAAGAGTCTAGTGGTACAAGGGTTCCGTTCAAATTGCCTAATGCTCTCGGCTCCATACTCTTCCTCCGTTTTTGTCCACCGCGCGGGATCATACTGACATCAACAGCGTACTCCGCTTCGTCAAGCCATTTATTGGATCGTTCGCAGCTACAGTGAGACCAAATTAGCAACAATACGCCAAACCGATGATAGGACAATGCATACTCGAGAACCCAGTTGACTCCGACGCACTTCACAACGCCGTTGGCTTCTCTAACCTTCTCCAAAGTTCGTATCCCTCCATCTTTGAAGATGACATGGGTAATACCGATCTTTATTTCCTTCGGCTCAGCCCCGTCAACTGGCGATAGGCTAGTTCTTGGGTTCCAATTCCATGATTTTACACATCGAGCACCCATTTGGGTCAATAATTCAACAAATATACCACTTGCGTCAGCCCCTTCTTTCGTATGCACGTCCGTATACACAACCGCTCCTTGAAGGATTGTATCATGACCTGCCGGTTGTTTCCGTGGTGATTTGACCGGACTTGAAGCAGAAGAACGCGATGGCTGTTTTGGTCTTTGAGGGAGTTGGTGGGTAAGAGGGCTGCCATGTTCTTCTTGAAGAGGGATGAAAGGCTTTAGCGGACTCCTAGCTTTGCGCGGTGAAGGGAGGGTTTTGCTTCTGGTAGCGGTTGGGCTGGTAGGCGGAGACGAATTAGACCCGGCTGAAAAAGAGCGTGTTCTCTTTCTTGGAATCTTGAGAGATCCATCTTCACTTTTCAAAGGGACCTTAGAAACAGTATGGACCGTGCGTGGATATCGCGGTCCTGACCTGACAGGCGTGACGGACATTGGGAGCACCGTGAGTGGATTCTGCGGCTGAGGTTCGTCCTGTTGGACTTTTGCAAACACCGCCTCATTGATCGTGACAATATGTTCCTGCGGAGTGGCATTTTCATCTACTACGCAGTTTTGCAAATGTTCCGGAGTGTCCTCGACAAGATCCATTTTATTCGCAGATAAGGATGCAATCGTATTTTCCTCACAGTCTTCCAGAATAGTAAAGTGGCCCTCGTCATTTGGAATGACATCGCTTGCATCAAGGTCTTCAGGTTCATGAATAATAGTGTTGTCATCAAATGACAGTTCCCCAGCTTCGTGGACCACAGATGAGCTCCTGGGTATGAGAGAAAGTCGGTCTCGCGACTGTCTGATCGTCGATGAACGGCGACTTGTCCTAGCAGTAATCTGATCTCCAGGAGCCATTGAAAAGATGCCTCTGCGTCGCGGATACTTCCTCTCTTCGTTATCAGGATTCCACTGACTTAGTTTATTTACCAAAGGAGTGAAGCCAAAATCCGAATCTGCCTTCGTTTGTTTGCTTGCATCGAAATCGTCATTTTCATTCACCAGCCTGATCGACATTCTCCTGGAGGGGCTTTTGCTAGGGCTCACTGCCATCATTGATTCATTGTCAGAGTCTCCATCGGATAGATCATCGCGGTAACTGAACTGCGGGGGATATGGGGCTGTAAAGACTGGAGGAGATGGGGCAGGAGGAGGGACCCAAGAGATATTTCGAATAGAATTAATGCTCGAACTTGCGCTTGTGATTTCATATGGGCGTACAGGTGTATTGATGGGTGATAAAGCTCCTGCGTTGACAAATGGATCCTCCAATTGTGGGGAGAATTCAGCAACAGGTTGAAGAGAAACATGCTCCATTGCTTGCCCCCTTTGTTCCGGTGATGATGGGGGTTCATCCGGTTTTGTACTGTTGGACATTTGTTGATCTTCATCCGCCAGCACATCGTACTCCATGTCTTCTACGATAGGACTTGATTCGCGATGAATAGGCTCTAACCTCTCAAAAGGTGTTTCTTCGGGGCCGAGACTGGAGACAGCATGCTGTTCGAAGCCTTTTGCATTAAGCTCATGATGTTGGCCTTTCGAGGAGGATAGGAAATTTTTAGAGGGCGACATCAATCGCCTCGCTGGGGTTTGCAGTAGCGACCTCTCCTTCACTGGCGACTGAGAGGGCGCACCTGGCCATTGCAGAGGGAATGGCACAGCTCTAGCTTTTATGGCAGATTCTTTCAATGGAGAAGTTTTCGTGCTGGAAGGCAAACACTGTTGGGGTTTAACAGCTAGGTCAAATTTGATCGGTGCCTTCATCGGTGATATCTTCATGGAATCTTTAAAGGGTGATGGAGGCAATCGGCGAGCAGGAGTGGACATAATAGTTGAGTCCTTGAGAGAGAAGGCCTCCTTTTCAGTCGACATGACATCTCCGCTTTCTGCTCTCGGACAATTTTCGCCAGATCCGGGCGCTGTTAGCCTCCTTGAGGCGCCGAAATCTATCTTCTTTGCCGGAGAGGCCAAAGACTGGCGCAAATTGGGAACTTTGATCGGTGATGTTTGAGGCGTTTTCAATGTAACATCTATTTCCACCCGATCAGCAGTGTCAACAGCGTCACCGGGGCTATTTGAAGCGCTAGGTCTGATAACCTGGTTCGATTTCTTGGGCGACAAAGGCTCTTTCTTTGACTGAGCTTTAGGAACTTGCTCCTCGTCGTGATATACAGGCGTGACTGGCCTACGCACAGGTTTTGCCTTCAGGCCAGTTCCAGCCTTAACTTTTTGGTTGTCAGCTACTGGAGTGGTCAAGGGCTGATTTTCTTTGTCTGAATTTTCGGCCATATCGAGAAAGGTAACCTTTTTCTTGGGAGCGCTACTCGACGCCTTGTTCTTCGCCGAAGCTGTGTATGTTATGGCGGCGTCAGGTTTCCTTGCCATAGCAGACGGAATAGATATTTGCTTCGAACGAGCTGGGACAACGGTAGCAGCCGCACTACCCTTTCTCCCACGGCGCGTACCGGTTTTGATTTCGGTTCCGGAGGTCGGTGCTTTGCTTGTACGAACACTCGCTACCGTTGCGCTCCTCGACCGTACCGCTTTTGTTTTCGATTGTTCAGGTTGTGCAAGTTCATCATCATCGTCATCACTATCATCGTCTGCAGGTTCCTGTTCGCCTTTTACGGACCGAACAGCCCTCCTCTCTGTCCGTGAAGCTGCCGTTTTCGGGCCTGCCGACGCCTTCGTCGACCTCGACTTCGCCGTGGTACGGACAGTAACAACATCCACCTCATCATCGCTGGAATCATTTTCGTCTGACACTTGGGCAATCTTCTGCTTCGGCCCTCGCCGTTTCGGGCCGCTTGTTTGCGAAGACACTGCATTAGTTGCAGCTTTCGTTCTAGGGGCCGCTGTCGAAGGTATTTCTGCCGTAGCTATATTCTTCCTTGGTCTTCCTCTTTTTGGCCCTGCAGTTGCTGTAGTCGAAGCCGGCGCGGGCGTGCTGGCCTCTTTGTTGGCGTTGTCCTTCCCAGCAATAGTTCGCGTTCTCGCTCGAGTCACCCGCTGAGGAGGGGAGGCGGGGGCCACGATGTCTGGTGCCCGTCGAGCCATATCGTCGATTTCTATTCCGTGTTAGAGGTTTCTCAAGGGGTGCAATTCGACGGCGTATGGGAGCTGTCCCAGATGATCCGAAGCCTGATTCGTTGGCTTCCGATCACATTAGAAGCTGACAATCAATAAAAGATAGCTTTGAAGTGACGTTCATAAATAGAAATATGCAGCCAAATCCAAAAAGGACTAACACAGACCAGCATGGATGCAGCCAGTTGCAGCATGGCAAACTCACGAAGGGTGATGTCGTCTTGTCTGCGGGCCATTTGTTTTGTTGCCCAGCCTGCGTCGTTGCCATGGGAACCCAGCATTTGGATATCAGGCTTCAACGATTGGCATATTTTTGCTAAATATTTACTGCAACTTGGTAATGATAAAGACTGTGGTCATTGTGACACTTGCAGGCTTGCAGCCATTAAATCTCGGAAGATAAACAGTCAGTCACTGTCTTCTCACCCCCGAGTTCAACCTCAGTCGACTCTCACTCTCCAACAAATGGCTCCTATCACACAGTTCGATCCTTCGGATCTTCGCATCCAAAGAAAGCAAACCATGGCCAAACAACTCGGGGCGATGTACGAGGAGGTGAAGAAGCTCAAGTCCTCTTCTTTTAGAGAAACCGATCTCAATCATCTCAACATCAAGATTCTTCCCCTCGACCTCGACCAACCAGCGAGATCTGGCCCTCTTTTCTTTCGGCCTTTGAGAGAGGACAGGCTCTCAGGGGAAGAGGAGGATAATGGTCCCTTGGTCAAAGAGGATTACGGATCCCAAAGCAGTGCATATTCAGTGGGCATTTCCTTGCACAGTGTCGGCTTAATTGGCAGCACCGAAAGGAAAATATGCTCTATTCTCAACCCTCACCCCTATCCAAGTAGCTGAAACTAAGAGCGTCCATTAAGCAGGACGTCTCCATGTTATCGGGGAAATCCCGATGGTGTATTCGGCCGCGTGCGTGGGGGATATCCTTATGAATGGACAGTTAGTCAACAATTGGAAGCCGATCCTACACCGATTTCGCACTGCAAGTTCCAAATCCTCCATGATGCAGAGGCTGAGGAGTCATTGAGACCCAGTGAAGTTCATCCCATTCTGGCTGTGATGCGATGGAGAATAACTTTATTGAAGTATCTAGAACATGGAATATTCCCTGTGGGGTTTCTCTGTCTAGGTAATGATGAAGCTACTTAGATGGCTGACTGGCTTACATGATAGCCATTCCTCTTTTTGGCCCCAAGCACGCATCCTCCTTGCTCATTTTGATGGCAAGCAGCTTTGCATCATGGAAAGCAAGATCTATGATCTCTCTGTTGCCAGAACATGAAGGATTATAATCTCTTCTTTCGGTGGCATGCATCCGATGCTGTTGGCGACACAACATTTTGACCTGGGTTGCCACTTGATTTTACTATGCACGAATATTCTGAGGGTTTGAGTCTGACACATATTGGCAAATCTGCAACATGCTTTTGAATTGAGATTTTAGTTATAATGTGAATTCCTAGAAACCAGCTTAGTGCAAAAGAAATCGAAAGTATAAGAGAAAGCAATAAATGGTAAATATATATATGAAACATATGGAAATACAGAAAGAGAAAGGGAAGGAGGGGAATCAAACCACTGCAGATCGTATCAGTATCACCAGAACATGACGGCGACCAAAATGGCCACAGACGCAGCAACGATACTTTGCTTACTTGAAGTATGCATCCCGGGAGCCGCGTTTTTCGCTCCCACATCTGACATGCTAACATTGGGGGCATACGTGTTCGGGGTAGTGCTATTGAGCGTTCCATCCCAGCAATGGTTCCGGAAGCACTGCTGGCAGGCATCAGGAACCGAAGTTCCCGTGCGCTCAAACGATCGGCTTAGAATAGCACATCCGACACATGTCGGCCAATCCTTCTGCCGTGTTGCGTTGCCCATGGTGCCAACGTTATAGCCGTTCCTGATGATCCCGTCGCGCTCGTTGTCTGTGTATTCCATGGTGAAAGTGGAGACATTGGAAAAGGCGCTGTAAGGATAGTTTGGAATGTAGACGACTAGCGGGGTGGGACCAGTGGTGTTGGAACTATTGCAGCCGAAGAAGGTTGGCCTGGTATTCAGGCCGAGATTGACAAATGTATTTTGGTCCGGGATCGCGGGAAATGAAGTCTGATTAGCAAGCCCAGCTGGGTCCATACTCCGTTCATAGGTAGCGACCAGAGCAGTTCCGTTAGGCCAGTTGTACTCGGTGTCCGCGGAAGAGTCAACCGCGAAGATCACGTCTACGTGCCTCTCTGGTTGAATTAGCGGGTGAAGAGGGATGTTCTGCAGATCCTCTCCGCCGTCAACTAAAGGGAGCGATACAACATTGGCAAACGGAGAGGTGTCGTTTGAGTAGTGATAGAACGGGTTGGGTCGGTACTCTGCGATATCGTTATTCTCGTCACCAATTCTTTCCAAAAGTTTCCTAATCTCGTCTTTAATAAAATTCGGAATATCAACCGTATCCAAATGAAGAGAGAACTGGTTGAAGAGCGACGAAGATGTGCCCATGATGTATCCGGCGTTATCGAACCCGCGAACGCACGTTTCATTGCTGGGAAGAGTGCCAGCCTGGAATCTCGAACCAAGATATTCAACAGGAACAAAACCAAATATAGTGGGATCAAACGTTCCAAACTCCCAGGGGTTAAATTCAAACACCGTGGCATTCCCACCGATAAGTTTCTCCCCTGGGTTTCTGCCATCGGCAACAAGGATTGGCATCGGCATATCACCATTTTGAAGACTCGGGCTCAGTGAGATCGAGGACCACGTGTATGAAGGGCCGCCTTGCGGTGCATCAATCAACTGATACGAGAGAGCCCGGCCCCTAGATTCTGCATATTAGTCTCAAAACAAATAGAAGATAACTACCATGATGGGAACTCGCATACCAGTAATCCGTGATAGAAACATCATACCCAGCGTCTCTTTTTCCATTCACGGCACGCTCGATCTGCCTGTAGTATTCGATAGTATCCAAAATAGCCAATCCACCATCCGACGGACCCTCCAGGATGGAACGGGTGAAATCCCATGCTGAACCTTCTTGACCACCAGCCAATGCGGATACGGTTGTATCGTTGTTTAAGTACAACGAACCAACCATCCACCCACCTCCACTCAAGCCAGACAGGTACGTCGCGGACTGCAAAAGGCCACCAAGCCGGCCCTGATCTGTCGATCCAGCAGTTCGAGAATCAAACGCCTGCACTACACCGGCGCCATTCATCAACGCCCTGTAGCCTCCACCAGAGATGGCGATTCCAATGTTCGGGAGCGCTGAAGTATTGTCCGCATGATTTCTAATATATTCTGCGGCATCAAAATTGGCGATAGAGACGCGACCGAAGAAGTCCGTCAGGGCAGCTGTTGTCTTCTTCCTCCTGTTTTTTAACCAGTCAGATTCGTTGTGAGAGATGGTGGCTGCGCTGCGAACGCTGGGGCGATCTGGAGGGCAAGGAACGTTCGCGGGAGTATAGCCATCAGGAGCATTGGGCAGGGCTCGAACAACGACATCTGTTGGAGGTATCTGGATTATTTTGGCCAGGGCCGAGCCTATGTAGTGATTCAAGTCAGCCGGCGTCTTTCAAGCCAAGGGACGGGATTGCAGAACAAACCGGCAAGCAGTCCGGCTGCTGCGGAAATGTAAAAAGTGAAATGATCGGGTTTCATATTGCTACCATCAAGAGCAGATACAGCATAACATGGACATGGAGGATGGGCACCGTTCAACGTCCTCTAGTTATACGTGCAAGATGGAGGAGAGCCATGTCCGAGTGCAGAAGCAAAAGGAAACGCTCATTCGAAACCACCATTGTCTATCGCCATCTCCGCCAAAAAGCTTTGACACGAAGTCCCATTCACCACAAAAAGGAGCTTCCAGTGGAGACTCTTAGGGCCGATCTGTGCTGAGAAGCCAAAATTAGCCCTTGCGCTTCACATGGCGCAGCGGTCGGCCGCGCGGATCCGAGATGCACACAAGCTGGGATCTGGCTCCCGATCAATTGACAATCCTGATTTCGCAAAATGCAAAAGAGAAGTGATTAATTCCATCTTGGATGTTGAATTGTGTTTCCCTTGGGTTTGGGCCTAGCCGGCTGATCATCACGCAATGACTGACTCTACGCAAGCCACAGTTGAAGACCACGCTCCACTTTAACTAGTTATCCGAACAACACAACATCGTCTACGGAGTACTCTGGACAGAGTCCATAATGCACAATCCGAGTCTCTCGGATATGAGACTTCCAGCCTCAGCTGCTCCGGGCTTCTCTCTCATCTTCTTCGGATCAGCACTTTGAAGGGTTCCTGTGGCTTGATGCGACGTCATTTCAGCCCAAGCACAGCCGAGGCGCATTGAAACATTCTTTTAATGAAGTACAATACTGAATAACGTTATGAATCCGTGCTGGTATCACTCACAACTCTGAAACCCGATCCCGCTCTGCTCGGATATCGGGGCGTGCAAGTCTCCTAGCCGATTTCAAGATACTACGAAGTACCGTCCTCTCCTAATTGAGTTCTGCAGACTCCATTTATTATCAATTTTCACGCTCCACAAACCCACCATCAGCCACACGTGAAACACCATTATTTCTTGGGGTTCAGAAGACAGACGCCGTGATGGGGGGAATGGAGCGTGATATAGTCGTCTTCCTAGTCAAAACCTAAGGTTAGATCAGGATGACGACACTCGTTGATTCCGGCATCAGCCACACCATGCAACCCGATTCAGGATCTGATTTGAGTACCATACGCCGGATTGTTGAAACGATGCATCGACTGTTGCCACAGGCATAATGCCAAGAATGTAAATCATCCACTGCTCATAACCGTTTGAACATAGATTTGCTCGACTTCAGTCGAACAAAAGCCGCCAGTATCGTTGCACCCAGTGCCATTGAGCCCGCATAAAATATGGCTGGTCGAAAGGCGTCGCTTCCAGCGTCCGCGCCGCCTGATGCCCCGAGAATGTAACCTGCAATGGGCGCCCCCTAAAACAACCCCGAGTGTTTTAATGTAAGCGAACGCATGCCTATAAAACGGACTAAGGTGTTTACCATCAAGTACCCTCCTACCCATCCCGTGACCGTCATTCCCATCGCAACGGACACCCTCGCGGAACCAAACACGTTTCCGATGACAGTAGGCATAGTTGAAAAAAAACCTCCATTGGCCACGCCGTTGATGATCACGAAAGCGGCCAGCGAGCCTAGAGATTGTGAAACGGGCCATAGCACAAGAATGCTCACTGCACTTAACAATAAAGACGCACAGAGTGTATTCAGAGGCCCGATTGTGTCACAGAAATAGCCACAGATCAATCGTCCAACCGCAGACGCAAAATTAAAGCCTGCCACGACGCCGGCTCCCGTGCTAGAAGCCAAACCTAGCGAGTTGGTGTAGAGAGGGAGAAAAAATGGTGGCACAAACAGAGGAAAAGTTCCGATTGCTCCCACAAGATAGAGGATTGAAAATCTGGCATCCCGGAAAAGCCCCCTACGTGTTCAAGTTAGTATTTTGAAAGGCTATATAAGACAATGTCCAAACTGTTATCATTACCATTCGACTAGTGCGTTTGGACGAGTTGGAATCCTTTCCTTGATAAACCAAGCAGCTGGCAGGCCAGTAGCCAGGGTAATAACCCCCATCACCCTGAATGCCCAAACGGGACCGAGACGCTGGATCAAAGCATCCAACGCAAAGCTATTGATTGCACCTCCAAATCCGCCTCCTGCGTAAATAATTCCGTACGCAAGTCCCCGTTTGACTTTAAAATATTGAGATGGGGTAACGTTGATTACCTAGTCACTCAAAGGGTCATTCGGAGCCTATCTGAAAGACAGGAATCAAACTACAGGCTCACCATAAAACATAGACTATCGCAGCGTCAGCTATGTTCAAATCGGATATCGGAGAATTCGCTCTGGTAACTACCTCGTTCCAATTCCACCAACAACCCCCTGCGTCATAAACAGCCCCGGAATACTCCCCGCCGCAAAACTACTTAAGATTTCACCAACCCCAATGAGACCGATGCCCGTCAGTGCCGTCGGCCGTATCCCCAGTTTCCGAATCAAACGAGCATTGACGATCGCCAGGAACGAGATGAACCCGGTCGTCAGCGAGCCGACGAACGATAGCGTGGACGGAGACGACAAGCCTCGTTCCACCAGCGCGGCTTGCAGGATACCCCAACAGTAGGAGGTACCAACAAACCACCAGCATAGTACCGCGCAGCTAAAGACGATCACCCATCCGTATCCGCCTTCAGGAGCTTGCGAGTCCTCCATGCGGGAGGCTTCAAGTATAGAGTCGACAGAGTCGAGAATCGGGGCATTCTCCCTGTTTTGTCGTGCTTCTAGGGACGATTGTCCATGTTGTAACTCAATGGCTGTTGTTGTGGTCGCCATGAGTTTTCAAATCGCTGGTCAGTTGACTGGTTGGTTTGACAGGCCCCCTCTCGTCAATAGCAAAGAATGTTGGTAGAAGCAGGTTATGCATTCACCACCCCAGCGCTCAGTTTCTATCTACCAGGGTTCCCTTCTCAGTCAGGAAGCCATCACAAAGTTCACGGATGTCGCGGCGAACGGGATTTGTGGCTGTGCAGCCTTTTTGAATAGTCTTGCTCTAGCATGTTCGCATGCGCTAGTTAACTAATAACTAACTAACTAGACCACCACGCTCAAAAGTTGTTGCAACCAGATCAGCCGAAAAGTCCGGTTTCTGTATTGATCAAGCATTCCTCCAGGGATGAATTCCGTTCTGCATCCAAGGACTCAGTGATCGTTATCCACTACGACATGATCAAAGCAAACGAGGTATGGGTGCTGTGGGAGATTTTTGGTTACAAGCAAATCCTTCCACAACAACTTCTTCCTCTAAAAATCAATATGTACTTGAAGACAACTTTCTGCCCAGTGCTAGAACTGTTATAACTCATTAATAAATCCACACCAGGTCCAAGTCGTCCAATTGCTTCAATTTCAAGAGCTCGATGAAACTGGTAGGGCTACCTTGCAACGATCAAATCTGGGAATATTGTGGATAGTATATGGACATGGTAGGGTCATCCTCTAAATCTCTTCATAAACCAACAAGTAACCCTTTCATATCAATAGTAAAAGAATGAACTGGTTCTCCGAGGTGATTGATAAAATGCTTCAAAACATCAATCTTGATTTCCACTTCAAGCGAAAGAAGCCTTATTGGACCTCTGATGGCTTCACTATGGATGTAGAATCTATCTCTTGCTTCAACCATAGTAGAGGATGAGGCTGGGGCTCTTTTATTCAGTTTCACTGATGATGTTGCAGTCTCTTAAGCAACTTCAGTCTTCAAAGGGCTGCATCTTCCCCGCACTCCTCTCTGTTTCCTCTTGCCATGCTGGACTATTCTGGCTCATCTTCAAAAAACTCCAAGAAAGAACCAGACGGGCTTGATTCTTTGCATAATTAAACAAGAAAAGGCATGAATGGAAGTTCTATCCATCCAGCTTGATATAGAAAGAGAGAGTTCAAAGAAAGTAGAAGGAAAATAATGTGACATAATGCTCCCTGCTGGAAACATCTGAATCTGTCTGCGCAGAGAGTATATCATATCTGAATGGCTTAGGATTGAAATTTCCCATTATCAACCACCCGAGATGATACTCCAGTGCACTGGAGAGCAAAATTTTGGGCTCATCACACCCGAGTTCATTGCTTGAATGATGACTGAACAGTTGAATGACTCTTGTCCTTGGCTATGTCGCGGATCAGAACCAGGTCGCCCGATGGAATGGTCGCCGTCTGCTGTCACCGAACCCTTGTTGGTAAGCCATCTGGTTTGTTCCCAATCGTCTGTGTTCCCCCCGATACTCAAGATGAAATCCCAGTTTTTCTGTTGAGTGCTGATGCTCGCTGAATGGAGGGAGAATGTCGTCTTCTGGGTCAGAAAGGTTGAGATTGTCGATCCTGGAGAGGTAGCCGAGCATCAGTTCTGCGAAGGGTATACCCGTGGACTGGCACCCATTGGGTGTTGACCTTTAAAGGGCCCTGGCGGCGAGGGACTAGGCCTGAGGTGATCCCGTCCTGAAGACCTGACGGATAATCACTGATTTCAGCTCGCCAACTTCTGAGGAAAAGGAGATTGGGGTTAATATGATGGTCCCCGTTCAGCTTAGCAAGGTGTTGTCTGAGTTTGTTGAGAAGTCGACAAATGACTGAGATCAGAAATTCCGCCTTGCCTCCTCTCCCTCGGGTTACTGGATTGGGACTTCCGAGAGCCAAGCTTCGAAACTCTCCCCACCACTAAGTTAGTTAACACCAAGACTCGTTTGCCCGGATCGTTCCAACTGGTCTTCAAAACGGCAACGGCTCAAAAAGAAGTCAGTCTATGATGTGCATAAATCAGGATACCTTCACCTGGCCCTTGTTCTCCAATTGACGTTGTCATTGTCCATTATAGAGAATGCGGCCAGAGCTAGCCCGTTCAAGAGCGAAGCGATATCATTCAGACAGAAGTACGGAGTAGGAACAGCTGCTCTGTGCCTATCCTGGATAGACCAGGGCACTGCTAACTGGTCTTTCGCAAGATACTTCGTCAAACCAAGGCTGTCCGCGCCACCGGCAATCTAGGGAGCCAGGCCCGTATAGTGCCAGTACTTCGGACTAAGCCGATCCTCAGCTGTGATTTTGCAAAAAGCTGAAGACATTGTCCCACGGAACTGGTCGTGGCTATCGTTTCCCGGTCCGGTGTGAGCCAAACTATAATGATGCATCTAATTGGGAAAGGCCGAGCAGAGCAGTCTGGAATCTCTGGATGCGACTCGATGATCACAGAGATGAGCACCAACCCCACTCAAGCTGTCATCTGGCCATGGTGACACGGCGTCGACAACTAGGTGAATTATACTATAAAATCGCATTAACCTGCTTCTTGCTCTCGTGAAACCATTGGATTTCTTTCGACTCTTATTAGGATTGAAGGGACAAGCAGAATCCCTGACTCAACAATCTCGTGGCAATCACCCTTTCAGCACAAACCGCAATGACTAACTCCGTGGACGGTACGTCTCAAAATGGGAGGCCAAAAATGATGCTTCGCGGCCCAAGTAGTCCACCGAACGAAGAGAAAAACCCCATCGACAAATCCCAGCCTCCGCCGCTGTTCCTCGGCACCAAGAGAAGACTCCCCGAATTCATACTCACAGACAAAGTTGTCCTCGTTTCTGGAGCGGCGAGGGGCCTTGGGCTGACTCAAGCCGAAGCCTTGTTGGAAGCAGGTGCCACCGTATATGCACTCGATAGGCTTGAGGAGCCAGTAAGTTATAAAGAAAGATTCGTCGCTCAAATATACTAAAACTGGTCATAGTCACCAGACTTTTATCGTGTTCAGAAGCGTGCTGTTGAGGAGCTCGGTACCAAGCTGTACTACCGTCGTATCGATGTTCGAAATACGGAAGAGCTCCATAATATTGTTGAGGATATTGCCAACGAGCAAGGGCGTCTGGATGGTTTGATCGCAGCAGCTGGTATTCAACAGGAAACACCAGCTCTTGAGTACACCGCCAAAGATGCCAACAATATGTTCGAAGTTAACATTACCGGGGTTTTCATGACTGCACAAGCAGTTGCAAAACAAATGATTCGTTTCGGAAACGGCGGAAGTATTGTCATGATCGCAAGTATGAGCGGCACCATCGCAAACAGAGTACGTATTCTCACACTTTCAACCAAGGAGCTCCCCGCATGCAAACATAACAAACACGCGATGCCAAGCCGATGACTAACCAGTGACTAGGGGCTGATTTGTCCTGCATATAATGCAAGCAAGGCTGGTGTGATTCAGCTTGGCCGTAATCTCGCTGCGGAATGGGGTCCCTTCGGAATTCGTGTCAACACCATTTCCCCGGGATATATCGTCACGGCCATGGTCGAGCAACTCTTTGTTGAGTTTCCGGAACGCAAGGTCCAGTGGCCCAAGGAAAACATGCTTGGTCGGCTCAGTGCACCAACCGAATATAGGGGCGCAGCGGTGTTCTTGATCAGCGACGCAAGCAGTTTTATGACTGGTAGCGACTTAAGGATTGACGGCGGACATGCTGCATGGTGATATTAATGAAATGATGAAGACGACATGCCCTGGCTTGGACCGGTTTAAGCGGGAGTTAGGTAGTTGAATTGAGGCCCTTTTCTTATCATTTTATTGTGTAAACTACTATGTAGTTAGTTATTGATTGCATTGTCGAGTAATAATACCATCAGATCACTCTCGTCAGGAGGATCTCTGTTTTCATATTTGGGCTTCGCTCTAGCTCGCATAGCTGCGTGCGGGATTGCGTCACCTCTCAATGCATGTAACCACCAGGGATCAATCTCGAACTAAAAAAAGAAGCAAGTGCACGGTGCCCTTGTTCGATTTCCTCGAAGACCTTCACCGACGAGGAAAATGCATTCGCCATCCAGGTCTCCAAACCCCGCTGTTCAAAGGAGGCGTGCTGTAACCGGCTGATTGGTCAAGAGTCCCTTCTTGAGCTCAGCCATCAGTGGGATGCCAAGTGGCTCCTCAGTTTGAAAACAATCTGGCTGCCTCGCGGAAGCTTGACAAGGCCGCTGGAAGATGCCCTGGCGTTAACAGTGATTGGATTAAGCGCTCCCTTTCTTTGAACAGTTCCGCAAGGGTATCTTCATCAAAAAGTGGACATTGAAAAGCAAGAAAACCCCCACCTCTTTTCCTCCCTCTGTTGCCAGAGTCAGCCTTGCGTGCGAGGCTGGGCCACCCCATCTCTTTTTCCGCAAAAGAAGCGGGCGGGCAGCGCAAACAGAACCGGTTTGATGTCAAATGAAATCATTGAGCTTGCACTGGACGGGTAATTACAGGGTACCGGGACACAAGGCCTTTGAGCAATTCGCCCAAAAGTGACCTGTTTTGCGCCTGAAACCCAATTTGACAGGAAGGTGCAAAGTTCCCTTTGGAAGGTTGTTGTTTTGTGGGGTTGTGCCCCACTAGCTAAACCGAACCTTCCCTCAACAACATCAACGCCCGTTCTTTCCCTTTCTTGACTTGTTGACCGCCGCTGGCACCTGCTCGTTTGGCCATTGCTTGCCTTCTGTGGGATTGCTCCTTCCCGCCCTGCAAGCAAAGCTGACAAAGCCCACCTCCCTCCATCTCCGCCGTCTTCTTCTCGCTTTTCCAGCCATCTTGATGCTCCCTGCCGCCTTTCTTCCTTTCAATCTTGCTACGACGCCTCTGCTCATTGTGGGCAGCCTGGCATATAAATCCTTCTCAGCCTTGACGTTTCTGTCGCTCTTGAACATATCTTACTCAGGATCCAATTCGTCGATATTCCTACCAGACTCCAGCCTTACCTTGACTATTTGATTCCTCCTGCATCCATCCTATTCAGTTCATAGTTCGTTTATCTCGCAGATTGTTGGTCTCTTTAAAACATGTCTTTTCGAGGCGGCCAACGCGGACAAGGTCAGGGAGGACGCCCTTCACCACGCGGCAATGACCGTAATAGAGGCTCACGGGGCGATCGTGGCGGCCACTACGGGGGTCATAGCCACCATGGAGGCCAAGGTGGCGGCGGTCGTGGTGGTCGTGGCGGGGGTAAACCCCAAGCTCCGGTAGAAGTTTTCAAGTACGTTTTCCATTGATGCGCCTCTCTTGTCTCTGCCATGCTCACCAGATTTGAAGTTCCCCAGTACCAGCTGCACTCGACGGACCTTCCAAAGCCATCGAGGACCGATACGATGCGAAGATGCGTGAGCCGGGTCTTGACTCGCTCTCCCTAGACCGACAGTATCCCCTCCGTCCCGGATATGGAACTCGCGGGGACAGAGTGCTCCTCTGGGCGAATTATTTTGCGTTGACTGCCAAACCAAACGTGGACCTTTACCGCTATAAAATTGAGGTCAAAGCACCAGCGAAGACTCCCGAACCAAAAGGGAAAAAACTCAAGAGAATCATCGAGCTGCTTTTGGAAGACCATTTTCAGGAGTTTCGTGATCGTATTGCGACTGATTTTAAAGCAACTTTGATTTGTCGGGATTCCCTCAAATTCGACTCCAAAGTTTACGATATTCAATATCGCGCGGAAGGCGAGGATACGCCGCCTCCCAACCCAAAAGTTTATCCAGTCCGTGTCCTCTTTACCGGCACTCTTAGCACCGCGGACCTTTTGAAATATCTATCATCTGTGAATCTTAGTGAAGCATTTGGTGGCAAAGAGGAGCTTTTGCAGGCTTTGAACATTATCGTCGGTCATAACCCTAAGACAACATCCAATATGTTTAGTGTCGGTGCAAACCGCCATTATCCACTGGGAAATGCTGCAGAGAGATATAACCTTCAAGGCGGTCTCGAAGCATTCAGGGGCTATTTCGTTAGTGTTCGCCCGGCTACTGGCCGACTTTTGGTCAATGTTCAGGTCAAGCACATTGCTTGTTTTGCCGAAGTTCCGCTGGCTAGGCTCATTGAGATGTTAGGCGCCCGCGGGTACCAATTGCAGCGAACCTTGAAGGGTATACGGGTTCAACTATCACACCTTCGCCGAGTTAAAGGAAACCAGCGAATTCCAAGAGTCAAAACCATTATCGCCCTTGCATCTCCACAAGATGGCCGAGGTCTAGACCACCCGCCACGAGTTGCGAAGCCTGGGGCAGGGCCAAAAAATGTCCACTTTTACCTAAAAGGAACCCTACAAGCAGGGCCAGCAAAAGCTACACCTCAAGCCACAAAAGGCAAAGCTGGTAAAGCTGCACAAGGCGGAGATACTAAAGACCACGGTTATATCAGCGTCTACGACTACTTCAAGCGTATGCATAACGTCGGCGATATGAATGAAGCGATGCCTGTTGTCAATGTTGGAACGTCACAAAACCCAAGCTACCTTCCAGTGGAGGTCTGCCGTGTTGAACCTGGGCAAACTTCTAAATCTAAGCTAACCCCCAGGCAAACACGAAGCATGATTGACTTCGCGGTCCGAAAACCTGCGGCTAATGCAAAGTCCATTACCGAAAGAGGGACGCAGGTGATTGCGGCCGCCCCGAACACTTCACAGTTGTTGGTAAGGCTTTTGACTTTCTTTGCCCCCAACTCAAAAATCATCTGCAAATGTCTTCTTTTTTCGTGTACTAATGAGCGAAATAGTCCAATATGGGTCTCTCAATTAGTCCAAACTTGATCACCGTTGGTGGTCGGGTTTTGACGGGGCCTAATGTTCGGTATAAAGCAACTTCAGTCCAGCCCAAATTCGCAAGCTGGAATTTATCAGGCGTTCAATTTCCCCGTGGAGCCTCACTATCCCAGTGGACTTTCCTCTTTCTTCGCGGGCAACAGCAAAATGACAAAAACCCACGTTCAATCGCCGAAAGCTTCAGGGATGTTGCGCGAAAGCACGGAATGACGGTTAGTGAGCCACTAGCGCCCATTTGGCTTGACCACCCTTTCACTTCCAACGAATCCCCGGAGAGTTATGCGGCCAAAGTTGACCGTGCTTTCGACCAACTTCTGGCGAAACATCGTAACATTAGGTTTCTGTTGGTCATGCTGCCTTTTGAGGACTCAGCTATCTACAACAGAGTTAAATTTCGAGGAGATATTCAAAATGGAATTCACACGGTTTGTGTGGGTGACAGAACTGGTGGCATTCAGTCCTTAGCCAATATCGCCTTGAAGTTTAACTTGAAACTTGGTGGTGCAAATCATGTCCTTGACCCTCCGAAATTGGGACTTATTGGGGAAGGGAAGACCATGCTTGTTGGTATCGATGTCACACACCCTTCACCCGGCTCTTCATCGCAAGCTCCTAGCGTTGCGGCTATGGTTGCAAGCGTTGATAAAGATCTGGCACAATGGCCTGCATCAATCCGGTTACAACGTGAAGCAAAAGCCGAGATGGTCGATGAACTAGAAGAAATGCTTGAATCGCGACTTCAGCTTTGGAAGAAGTATAACAACGCTTTTCCCGAAAATATCATTGTTTATCGCGACGGAGTCTCTGAAGGGCAATACACGCGAGTTTTAGAAGAAGAGCTTCCTCGTTTGCGCAAAGCATGCGAACGCGTTTACCCGGCCACATTGACAAAGAACGGTCTACCACGAGTTTCCATTATCATTGTGGGGAAACGTCACCATACAAGGTTCTACCCGGTTACCACAAACCAAGCCGATAAAAATTCCAATACAGTCAACGGGACAGTCGTTGACCGAGGTGTTACCGAGGATCGCCACTGGGATTTCTACTTGCAAGCTCATTCAGCTCTTAAAGGCACTGCACGGCCCGCCCATTATTTTGTCATTCTAGATGAAATATTCCGGGCGCGGAAGAATGGACCCCCTACAGCAGACGTACTTGAAGATTTGACTCACAATTTGTGTTACTTGTTCGGCCGTGCGACCAAGGCTGTTAGTGTTTGTCCCCCCGCGTACTACGCTGATCTCGCTTGTGAACGTGCGAGACGTTACCTCAGCGGCTACTATGATGCAAGCCCTGCAGAGTCTATCGTGTCTGGGGAAACCGGTCGAGGCCCAAGTGAGAATGAAATAAAAATCCACCCAAACCTTGAAAATTCGATGTTTTATATCTGAGTTCGAAGACCTCGATACTTATGATTTTGTCGTGCTTTAAGTGTATCTGCTTCCAAATTGCTTATCACGCAGAATATTATTTACATGTTTTATCAAGTGCAGCTTTTACCGTGGCATTTGTAGTATCCTCCAAGCTTTGTTTTCTCTCCGGGAGAAATGGGGCCGCTTTTCCTCTCAGAAAAAAGTGAACTCTTAGTTTAAATAGCCTTCCTGACATAACTCACTTAGATCCATTTCGAATACTATGGAGAAGTCCAACCAAAATTGCGCTTCCAAGAGATTGACTTGTAGCTTGACGACCCTGCCTTCGATTATCAAGGCCGATGAATTAGATCTCAAGAAGGGTTAAATTCGCTCCTTTGGTCCCCTTTGACACATTGGTATCAAACACCCATCACTTGTTCGATAGCGACGTTGTTATGCCAACCCAGCAAAGGCAAAATAAAAAGAGACAGAAGAGCCCTCTTCTAATGTTGACTACAGAGAAAGAGGCCAGCGTGTTCTCTCTATCTGACCTCGCCCACCACCCCTTTAGTCCCTAGCTTGCCCACCACACCCGCCTTTAGCCTGAAATGTCTCTCAATCAGATCCGGGCTCACACCTTCCCTATCCCTCATGGCAAGGACTTGCTGTATAGTAACCACGTCGAGGAACTGTCTGCCCTCATGGCTTCGTTTTCCGAAGGATTCGAGCTCCTGCTCGGCGAATCTAGCGAGGTTAGAGCGGGCAGAGAGGGTTTGGATTGCGGGGCTGGGAGGCGGTGGAGACGAGGTGGAGGAGGAAGATGAAGATGAAGACGGCGTCACGTTTTGGCGGTTGAATGTGCTGGAGTGGGAAAAGGTTGGGTTAGGGATGACGGGGCCTATGGAGCGGAGGGAGGCGGCGAAATGGGGATCGCGGGCGTCGAGGTCGATGGCTGGGGGAGGGGGGTGGGTATGTTAGTATTTTCTTGTTTGGTCTGGCATTTTTCGAACGAAACGGGTTTTGGGCGGGGCAAGGGTTACCTTGGGATTTTGTCTGGCTTGGTTTCTCGTTGGAGTGGTAGATTGGGCCCTGTGTTTTCTGGGGTGCTGCTGCTGCTGGTGGCTGCTGCGCGTGCGGTTTGGTGGTGGTTGTGGAGGGGGAAGGCTGCTTGGGGTATTGTCGTCGACTGGCTGCTGAGGCTGCAGCCCGGGCAGGTTTGGATGCCGAAGCGCCCATGTTGCCTGAGTCTCTCACCCGCCAGGAGAAGAGGGCATTGCGATTCCAAGTCACGGTTAATGACGATGCTTGCGGCCAAGGTTTTCCGCTGCTATTGCGCAGACTGTGATTGGCTCGGGAGCTCGGAGAGCTACTACGGGGCACCAATAACACTACTGTGCATTTCGCTGGTCGATATGATGGAAACCTGGATTTCTGAGCAAACAAAGAATAATCCCTATTGTCCCTACAAAATCGAGTTTAACCTTTTTGACACCAACTCCATGCCTATAACTAGCCGTGAGAATAAACAGATAATTTACATCATCTCCGATCTAGGAGACGCACACCACCATGGTCTCAACAATATGCTGGTGTCCAACCTACCGAAGTCCTGCAAATCGTCGTTCCTGAACCTCACCTAAGGCACGGCTGCCACTGACAACAGTCACCGCGCCTAGCGCCAGGAAGACAGGAAGAGTCTGGAAAAGATTCCAGGAAGTGTAATACATGAAAAAAACGGCTTCCAACCCAAATATCGACGCGACGAAAATAGAATGGGATATCGGGGAGGATTTCAGCGCAGCCGGGAGCTGATGGAGATTCGCACCAAGATACAGCCACTAAACTCTGAATCAGCTGGAGTCTCCTGCGCTTAAATGCCCTCTACTTACCAAACCTGCCAACACCGGGAGAGCCGCAAGTACAGCAACAACGAATGCCAACGATATAATAATCGGAGGGCTTTTGGGGTCTGATTTGAAGATATGGTGGATCTCATCGAGCTTGCCGTATCTGAGGGTTTCGACACGCGGGAGAGGCTCGTCCGGGTTTCGCTTAATGGAGAGCCGGAATGCCGGGCTATCATAGCCCAGGGCAGAGCCAAAAGAAGCTATTACGATATTCGCATCGAGAGGTTTCTCTGACTTTAGTAGTTGGATAGGTAGATCTTTGTGCGTCTAGAGAGCAGGATTTAGTCACTGTTGACGGGGTTCGCAGACTAATAGAGCGCTGACCAGTTCCAATCTAGCTTTTCCATTGTCCTTGATCGCCAACGGATAAGAAATGTCCAAGCCCGATTCAGCATCTTTAAGCAAAAGGAACGCCTGATGCGGTTTCTTTGGGGCGCGGCCTTCTTGCGCGGTGAGGAGGAGCTTCAACGTGTCCGCTTGTCCGAGCGGGATTGGTTTCGAAAGTGGCTTCTTATCTAGTAATCTGGACAATACAGTCAGCATAATTCTGCTTCCCCCTCGAATGTGGGTTTCGAACTTCTCTTTCAATCCTCCACCGACCCCAGCGCCCTTTTGCTGAATTGACAGCGTGGCGTCACCGAAGCCCCAACTGGCGGCTGCTAAAGACGGCTGGACGCCGGCGAGCGCCAAAAGGCCGAATTGGATCACCGCGGTAAGGTACATTCTCTCAACAGACTGGTAACGAACGTGCAAACTTCGGGTATGTTTTGATGCGATGGGCAGCTGCTGGTCTCCACGTTCCGCTCCCAAGCTTCTATATTCGGCTTATGTAACTTATCAGCGAGGTGCTTTTAGTTTCAACTACGGAGTACTAAAAATAGCTTGATTGTGGAAAAGGGGAATTCCAGAGTTATCATCATCGCGAACTATTCATTCAGCAATACGGAGTATAGACATGTACGGTCCGCGACTGCCTTCGTTTATCTCGTCCTTTTTCTAGGCTCCTTGCAAAGCCCTGGATTTCTATCGACCGCTTGGAAAACTTGATCTGCATGAACTGCTAATTGTTACTTAGTGTAGCCAGGAGTCTCCCACCCCTAACTAAAGCACTTCTGCTAGCTCATAGATCATGGAGATATAGGCTGGACAAAGCTCACTGGTGCCGGAGGCGGTGGGTGTGCAAGTACATTCTTCCGGCCGGACGTCAGCGAGGAAGCTCCGAAAGAGTTCGAACAGAAGTTCAAGGATTTTCGAGATAAAGGACGATTTTAGGTACTGACGAAGAGAAGGGCGAAGAGTTGAACCAAGAGAGGTTCGAGAACGCTGTCGATCGTATAGCAGCTCGAGATGCTCGCGGCTCGCTCAGCCATTATCCTTCGTAGTAGTAGATTGGAATAGAAGGTCATTGATCTCAGGGACCGGTACATTTGAGGCGCTATCCAGGAAAAAGAAAGGTATGCCTTTCATATGCTCCAGGCAGCTGTTCTGTACAGCTCAAGTCACTGTCTTCTCTCGGTCTTTGACAGCTCTTTCAAGGCCATAGCCACTAGGGCTGTCACCTCATTTATCAATGTTGGCACTTCTATCACAATCCTTGTGTTGAAGTATGGCCATATTTTGACGGCTCTCTGCCATACCACCCCAGCAGTTGAGCAGCCTACCCAAATATGTGAAATCCATATTGTGTACTCCGTAATGGGCACTCTCATCCCCTAGGCTCTGTCCATGTGAGCCTTGATCCAGTGATCACCTTCCCATGTAGCAACATCCACAACAGGTTGCTAGCCTTAGGGATCCTCAGTGTATCCCTTAGTGCCTTCCACAGTTGCAGGGCTTGGACCTTGACTCCTCTCTTCTGTCAGTATGCTTCAATCAAGTCTGTGGTCTTATCTGAGTCTCACAGCTTGGCCGCCATCAACCCCTTACATAGTCATGTATGTGGTGCCTCCCCCAGTCAGTCCCAGCAAAACCACACGTAGTCAGTCAGCGTCTTGGTTCTCACCCAGTCTCCTTGTTCCTGCAGGTCTGGCAACCATTCCTCTGGGAGCTGCTGAATGAGCTGGTGTATGGCCTTCACTTGACTTGCTTGTCGGGCTGTTAGGATGCCATAGTTCCTCAAATGATTTTTTCCTATTATTCGCCGCGCGACCCATTCCTTACAAACCTCGTGCCATGTGCTGAGCTGCTGATATAAGCACTCCTCCCTCAACGACTGCCATCCCAGGCACTCGACGGGCAGCCGTTGAAGAGGGTGGAGGATGATTAGCCGGTGTGGTGTGGACCCCTGATGCCGACTCCAGATGCGGAATGGCGCGGACTGCACTTCCGGTGGCGTTCTGCCGGGGGAGGTGCCTCCCTGATACTTCACGATGCTTGCTGATTCGCGCGGGCAACCAAGTACCAGTACCTAGGTCAAGTCATGGGGGGGCTTTGGCTTAGCTTGCCAAGCTTTCGTGATCCTGTCCCCGAAGGTTTCATCACCCGCTAACCCCAAACGGGCACTGACTAATGCAGGCGTCAAAGTACCAGTACTTTCGCCTCGTCTGAGCTGCTGGACGACTACGGGAGAGATGTTGATTCACCGGGGCATGGGATCCGGCGCGGATATTGTCCTGTTGGCATCAGACATGTCGACTTGGCTTTGATACATGTGTGAATTTTCGAGGAAGCCGGCCGGGGGAAGCGAGCAGATCCGCCAGTCATTGTTCTTCGTCAGCTCAAATTGACGCGGTGGTTAGGTACCTCTACATGTGGAGCATGGTGGTCATGCAGTGACTCCCCAGCCCGCTGCCCATTATTACCTTTGCATCCTCAGATGTCAGTCCCGTCATGACCTTCTCTCACCTACACTCTTATCGTCCCTTCTACTACGCCTTTCGTCCCCCAACAAACATATTTCTGTTGTTTGTCTCTTCATATATATATTATTTACCTCCTATTTGGCACTTATTTTGATACTTTGAATCTTTCTAACCTGTCTTCCATCGTGGACTTCCGGCTTATCATCCTCGCTATCTCTTGTATCGTATTGTATCCCGAATACATCATCGCCGTACCTTGCGGGCCCAGCATCACTCTATCCAACTCAGTCTCCTGGTATGTCTAAAGAGCTCCTATACCTGAAAACAATTCTGAATATGTTTTTACTATCTCACATCACTTTTTGGTTTATTTTCTGTATTGTTCCCTTATCGTATGCCGTTGACTCGCTCCGTTTCCGGACCAGCTTGGGCAGAGGAAGCTTAGATTAACACTTGGGAAGGCACGTTGTTTGCTATGATCATTTGCTAACCTATTTGCTCTGATCAGGAACAGTGTGCACCTTTACTATCTTGCGTCAGAAGCCTTACAGCCGCGTTATTGCTGTCATTTACTCTTGCTGCTATCCACGAGCGAATTCATCCCAACATCGCCCATTCTGAGCTAGAATTATTCGCTTGCCCCTAATGGGCCCGTGCTACGGGGTATTAGGACTACTATCGCTGCTGAAGGCATAACGAGGGCTGTTTAGGTTTACAAACCAACACGCTTCCGGGACTCTGATCATGGCTACACTTCAATCACCTAAGATGGGATCGAGACAGGCAAGGGGGGATGGAGAGTCAAGAGATATGATCCTTGGAAAATATATCAAGATTGAGGAGATCGGCCGTGGTAGTTTCGCGACTGTCTACCAAGGTATCCATAATGTGAGCTGCCTCTTCCATTAGGTTTCCTTGCCCCCATTTCTCAAGAAGGCTCTGTGGCCAATGGGCGCTGGATAAGCCTGCACTGGACATCGATGCCACCTTATTATCAGCAAAATGCTTGAACTTGTTTGCTGACAAGCATGTGTTAGAAATATCGGTCTTGTGTGGCCATCAAGGCGGTGAACATAGGCAATCTCAACCAGAAACTTAGAGAAAACTTGAAGTTGGAGATCGATATCTTAAAGGGCCTTCAGCACCCTCACATAGTGGCTCTCATTGACTGCGACGAAGCGTCGACTTCATGTATCCACCTAATTATGGAATTTTGCGCCCTCGGCGACCTCTCCCTCTTCATCCGCAAGCGCGATACATTGGGTAGGCACGAACTCACGCGGGATATGATAGCAAAATACCCCAACCCTCCCACCGGTGGCTTGAATGAAGTCGTTGTTCGCCATTTTCTCAAACAACTTGCCAGTGCCTTGCAGTTCCTACGCTCCCGGGATCTAATCCATCGTGACTTAAAGCCCCAGAATTTGCTGCTTAATCCGCCCCCGAGCTCGTATGCCAAGGGTCTTCTTAAGATAGTTCCATACAAGACTAGAGATGACTCTTACACACCGGTGGCAGGAATCGAGTCGTTACCAATGCTCAAGATCGCCGACTTTGGGTTCGCACGGTCATTACCGGCTACCTCGCTCGCAGAAACTCTCTGTGGCTCGCCTCTTTATATGGCCCCAGAGATTTTGAGGTACGAAAAGTACGATGCAAAAGCCGACCTCTGGTCCGTTGGCACTGTCTTGTTTGAACTGGTAGTTGGAAGATCACCATTTAGGGCTGGCAATCATGTCGACCTGCTCCGAAAAATTGAACAGGGCGAAGACAATGTCAGGTTCCCAGCTCAAATCGAAGTGTCAGCTCCGTTAAAGAAATTGATTCGAAGTCTTCTTAAACGGAACCCGGTGGAACGAGTCAGTTTCAGGGACTTTTTTGAGTCGTCTATCATCAAAGGAGACATCCCAGGCCTAGTTGAGGAAGATCTGCTAGCCCAGAAAGAGCGAGATTCCCGTGTGGCCCTACAGACTGCACAACGAGATGCTTTGCCCTCTCGTTCTCAAAGTGATGGGAGGCTAGATGATCGTTCACCCGCTAAACCTCGACCGCCCTCAGGAAATTTTGGTCGTTTATCTACAAGCCCATCTTTACGTCGCGCTGGGAGCCGAGAAAAGCTCGATCTACAACGTGTAGCGGTTACAGCTCGAAAGGGGAGTGTGCCTTCTGTTCCTGGTTCTCCTAACCGGGAAGAACTCCGTGATTTCAATGCAAAGGCAGGGAATGCGGAGCTTCCAGAACGACCTACTCTATCAAAAGGCAGAGATATGAAAAGAAGAGGCCTATCTGAGCCGCAGTTTGATGACAATACTGTCTCTGAAAGGGATCGGGCCGCGCAGGATGTGGCGTTCGAGCGCGACTACGTTGTGGTAGAGAAAAGAGCGGTGGAGGTCAATGCCTTTGCTGATGAACTAGCTGCAAGCCCCCGTTTCCAACAACAACATCAACAGGCGATAACAAAACAAACTGGAGCTATTGTTCGCCGTGCAACTACCACCGCCACCCCTCAGTCATCCACCCCTCCTCGTGATGCTGTGTCCCGGGGAGTGGTTGGTGCTTACAACAGGCAGCGCTCGGGGTCTTCGCACCAACGTCACAATTCGTATGATCGAAGATATGGGCCGAGTCCGACGTCCGCAACGTCGGCCATTTCCAAAGCACTCAATATGGCTAGTGGACGGCTTTTTGGTGTCAGCTTTTCTCCTCCCTTAGCTTTAACCAAAGCTGGAAGATCGCCTCCTTTAGGATATAATGCGTTTCCTGCGTATCCGCTTGCTCAGGGTAGCCTTGTCGTTGTTGGGGATGGAGCTAAAGTTCAGCCTCCACTGGACGAGGATACCAAAGTCTTGCATATAATTGAGGAAATCGCAACCCGTAGCGATGTCGTCTATGGATTTGCCGAAGTGAAATATAAACAGCTGGCTCCTCTAACTCCTTCTATGCAAGCCGACACTGCCATCAAACCCGTGATCAATCCCGAAACGGCGGAAATAGCTGGATCTAGCGATACTGGGCTGACGGTTGATGCCACGTTCACATTGTCAGAAGAAGCTCTTGTGCTTTATGTGAAAGCCCTCTCATTACTGGCTAAATCAATGGATATTGCCGGAGCATGGTGGGCCCGTAAAAATCGCGGGGAGACTATTGCAACTCTACCAAGCGTAAATGTCGGACACCGGGTGAATAATGTAGTGCAATGGGTCCGAAACCGCTTCAACGAAGTACTTCAAAAGGCTGAATATTCACGACTCAGGTTATTAGATGCCCAGAGACAGATCCCCGCTAACCACGCGTATCAAGTCGGCCATGTTGGGCGTATGTCTGTGGGAGGCCTTGCTCATTCCTCAGACCAAGTTATCATCAGCTCTGGGATCACGGCGGAGAGATTGATGTATGATAGGGCCCTTGAGATGTCCAGGACAGCTGCAATTAATGAACTTACCGGTGAAGACCTTCCTGGTTGTGAGATCGCGTACATGACCGCGATACGGATGCTAGAGGCTGTCCTGGAAAGCGACGAGCTTCCTCAATTAAGCAGTGATCGCTCGAGTGAGGCTACAAATACGATGTCCAGTGAAGAAATCGGGGAGATCAATGGTATACAAGGTGAAGACCGGGAGGTCGTGACTAAGTGTATGTTTTTGCGCTCCTTTAATGAATGGCGTAGTAAAGTACTAACTTTTTGAAAGTGGTTTCCAGTATACGTGTTCGACTTACAGCCTTGAAAAAGAAAATTGCGCTGATGACCAAGAGAACATCGGCTCCTCCTATCGTGTCACCTCCAAAACACCAGCCCTGCCAATCCCCCGTTGTGTCTCAAGATTCGTCCAGGTAGACGTCTTCTGTCCAATTATATCAACTTCTCTACGCGAGGTTTCCTAGAGACTGCAACGAGACAATTGGGCAATCTAGATGTCTAAACACTTGGGGTCCTGCCTCGTATCCCATATCGAGCGAAGCTTGTGCTACACAGAGTAACTATACTATGTGAATATGCCAATGCCTGCTTCCAGTTCTGCCTAGGTTTCGACACTTCTTCCCCACATACCATCCAAACCTTTCAAGGGGCAACTCGAGAAACCCAGTTGAAATGAGTTGAAATTCGGGAATGGCCATCTAGCTATTGACGAGCTAACTTACCATCCGTTTTGCTTCTAATTTTGTTTTACTCCTCACGTTTATTTGCACCGTATCACTGGTGATCTCTTCCTCTTCGTCTCTTATAGATTCAAAGTGACCGCCGTATTTCGACCAGCTGTTGAAATAGCACTATTTCTATATCTACCGCTGTCGGTTGTCGACTGTTACCTCTTTTCTAACAGGAAGATCGTGCTACCTTTACTCTAGCTTGCATGGCGTCTGGTGCCTTTCATTGGTATTATGGAAAACCGGCTAAACAGGGCACGGGAGAATATGCTTTACATTTTGCCGTTTTTTATACTGGGAGTTTGACAAATAGGCAATTACGGAGTTAATGTCGAGAGATGGGAAGAAGAATGTGAAAAACTCGAATTTCCCCGTCTACACTCCATTCCCTCTTTCCTGATGCCGTCATTTTTTTTTCTCTGACGCCCCGGCGTTTGATTCTTAATTTCCTTTCTGTTTTATATCAATGATCTTCCCCATCTTGAAACTCGGCGAGATGACTTGTTTTGGTACTTGGGGGTGCGGTTGAGTTTTGAGGTTCTCAATTGGAGTCAGAGATTGCGACAGACAGTATGGACTTGGGTGGCTGGCGGCTCTCGTTGCCGCTGCTGATGATATTTATGCTATGAGGGATGTGGATTTGTGGATTTACTCTTTGCTATGGAGGATTTGGAGTCTGCCTTATTATTCAAGGTATCATTCATTCAATATTATACTACTTTCGCGATTTTGCCATGTATGGCTTATTTTTTGGGCTCTGTGAAAGTGCCTGCAATAATCTATCAAGTGTTCGCAGGTCTCTGGTTCTTTCTCCCTTGAACTTGGTATCGAATACGGCAACTCCAACCCCTACAACACTTCATGTGTGCCGGTGACTATCGCGAAACATTCAAAAACTGCAGCCCTGGGAATCCGTTTTTCCCCCCGGATTGCCATTCAAAGGCTATCTCTGAACTTCCAGATGGCCAATATGCAGAACAATGAGCTTGATATCTTGTCATTTGGCAACGGTAGTGACCTATCAACGCTGGTTTCGTCCGAATATGCATCCCATCGGACTGAAAAGAGCAAGCTGTCCCACGAATTAAATCCCGATAATTTGGACAAGCTAGGTAGGTGCAGTGGTTTTGATTCTCATCAGGTCCCGAGCTTTGTTTTACTAACCGATATTTCATAGATACGACAAGATCATGCGTATCTGATAATATCCCAGAAGATCGAAGGCAGATCGGAGTATTCACGGCTACCTTCTTGGTTTTCAACAGGATAATAGGCACCGGAATATTCGCGACACCAAGCACCATTCTAGCGTTGACGGGAAGCGTCGGAATGTCGTTGACCGTTTGGTTCGTAGGGATGATCATCGCGATGGCGGGTACGGCTGTATATCTGGAGTTTGGGACCGCTATTCCGGTGTAAGTAGAAGATTGCCCTTTCAGCCGTTTTGGTGATATGAAAATTGACGTGACGCTGGTAGGAATGGTGGTGAAAAGAACTATCTAGAATATGTGTATACTAGACCAAAATTCCTAGTGACAGCCATATACGCTTCGTACGCCTTGCTCCTAGGTTGGGCTGCAGGAAATAGCGTTATATTTGGCGAATATCTACTCCACGCTTTTGGGGTAGGTGTCAATCGATGGAATCAGCGCGGCATTGGGTTGGTTTGCATCACTGCCGCGTTTTTGATCCATGCTACGGCGGTGAAATGGGGGCTCCGGATTCAAAACGCGTTGGGTGTTTTGAAGCTAGTTGTTATCCTTATTATCGCGATTGGAGGTTTGTTGGCGTGTGCTGGATTCGTGAATATCGAGCCTCGCAACTTCGAACATCCCTGGGGCGATAGGCCACCCACGCCATATGGCCTCGTTATGGCCCTGTATAACGTGATCTGGTCGTATGTTGGCTATTCGAATGCAAACTATGTATGTTGCGCACTTCGTTTCTATGGTTTAGGTATTAACGGTGTTTTCTAGTGCTTAAGTGAGACTCACAATCCGATCCGAACCCTGAAAATAGCAGCACCTGTAGGTGTGACCATGGTTGGGGTTTTGTATTTCCTTGTGAATATCGCATATTTCGCTGCCGTTCCAAGGGAGGAGATGCTCGAGTCTGGGAGAACGCTCGCTGCGTCCTTTTTTCGAAACGTCTTCGGTGTTAAAGCAGAACGAGCCCTATCTACTTTCGTCGCCTTCTGTGCCTTTGGAAATGTATTGGCCGTTTTGTTCTCCCAAGGTCGAAGTAGGTCTTTATATAGGAACTGTGAGTGGTGATGCGATCTAACGTTGTTGCAGTTGTTCAAGCGCTCGGACGAGAAGGGGTTTTACCATTCTCGTGGTTCTGGGCGAGCAACAGGCCATTCAACTCCCCTGCAGCTGGGCTGTTCGAGCACTATCTCATCTCTGTGGTAGTTATGTTGGCACCGCCTCCAGGGGATGCTTACAACTTTCTATTGAAGTGGGTTCACCCGCCTGCATTTCACTGCTTAAGGCTAACAGTTAGCAATTGACAGTCTCATTGGATACCCTCTTTCTATTGTAAACGCACTGGTTTCTGCGGGACTCATTCATATCTACCTTCGCCCTGCCCGTTATCCGACATGGTCTCCTGCTATTCGCGCTACCTTGCCTGTCGTCGCTTTCTTCTTCATTTCCAACGTATACCTGGCCGTGGCACCGTTTGTTCCCCCGCCAAAGGTGGACAATGTTTATGAGCATCTGCCGTATTATATTCACTGTCTCGCAGGCTTGGCGATATTTGCGCTTGGTGCTTTATATTGGATCATGTGGGCCAAAGTTCTTCCATGGATGGGAGAGTATCGACTTGACGAAAGATTGACTGTTGGGCGTGACAGTTGGACGCGAAAAATAGTTCAACGAGTCTCAACGGCTCCGGAGTTGGGAGATCAAGGGAATAATGATGAAAATATGTGGCATGGGTGAATAAGTGGTTAACTGCGTAATCATCGATTTAGATCATTTTGGGCGCTAGGATTGAACAAATTGGCTTAAAAGATGGACAAGTACGGAGTATAGAAATATGAAAAACGAATAAGTTCGAGAAAAATTTATAATACAGCCACAACGTAATAATAGAAAAATGTTCCAGGCTCCTATGGGGAACAGTCCTTGATCAAAGCCGATTGATCCCCTCAAACTTGCTGGTAGACTTTATCTGGCAGGAAATAACTAGCGAACTTGTACTCCACTAGCTATGGAAGAAAGACAAAGTAGGGTAGACATAAGTTCATGGTATCCTGCTGTCAACGTCTTATTTCTCGATATCCAAAATCTTCACAAGAATCTTTAAAAGTATCATAAGTCAAGAGCCGTGCTTGGAACACACAAGAACAGCTTTGATTCAGAAGACGAATCTTTCCTGTTTAATGGCTTCCGTTACACACAGAAGACGGACTGGAATTGTTCGCTTCGAACTTGACAAGGCATAGAGAGCATGCGAGCCGATGTCATGGTCACTTGCATCAAGCCGCCTGGCTTTCCCTGGCACGTCATTTGTCAAACCGGTTTCTAGACTCCAACCTTTATGGCTGATCGACTTGGGAGGTAGACGAGGATCGAGGCCAGGTGGAGGTCTGAACGAAAAGATATGACGGCATCTATGGGTGTGCCTGCGGCGTTGGCGTGCAGAGGTGGTTGACTGGGGGTAGACACTCAGATGGAACCGACTCCTGGATATAATCAGCTCACATGGATTTGAGCGAATCCTGCGCTGAGCTTTGTGATTTTTTTCCTCAAGGAGTCGGTTTTATGATCCAACATGTTGCGTCAGGTGTTGCTTTGCAACGAGCAAGCCAGGCGCTGGAACACTCAGTGCTGGATGCCTGGGCTGGGATCGAGCTCGTTCAATCATCTCAGTTTCGAGTTTAGGGACCCCTGATGGAGCCCACACTCTACCGATTCGATACAAGCAAGATGAAGGAAGACACGGTCAAAAACGGTGGCCCATCTTCCTCTGGAGAGAAGAAAGAAAGAAAGAAGAGGGAGAAAAAAGAGGAGGCCCTTTTTGTGTCGTGGCCTCGGCTAGCAGCTGAGTCATCCAAAGTTTGGTGGGTGGCTGTGATTGGTCCAAATAGTGCTCAATTACATAAGCAGCTGGAAGCTTGTGAAAAGCTGATGAGTTGCCGCATTCGGCAATGCAGATGCAAACGGGAAGGCGAAAGCGGCAGACAAACAAACAACCGCATTGTAATTGAGAGCCCATTGATTGCATTCAGCTCTTCTCGGCTGCTGTGTGTGCTGTCGCTGCGACAAGCCCGCTGACCGCCGTCATCAGCGAGGTGCTTTGTAGCTTTAGGTTTGCCTGCTCGCTGGGAGACTTGGGTTGGGGTGTGTTGGTGCAGTCGAAGGGTCGAAAACGGGATCCTTATTTGCGGGCCATCGTGCGAATTAACTCTGTGGGTGACGCGGTTGTTGGCGGGACATTTCCAACTAGCGGTGTCCGTCATCGACTCCTGGTGATCAGATGTTACCCCTCCACCGCAGACATGTTCACTCGGTCGTGAATATAGTCAAGCAACGCCCGCCCCGTTCAACTCGACTTGTTACGCCGTATCGATTCTCCTCCTCTGCTACTCGATCTGCCTTAGGCAATCCAGGCAATTTCAGATACCTTTCTTCCTGTTTTGGCACCAGAACGACTTCTAAACAGCCCAGCTTACCCCACCTTCGAGCTATTCCGCGTGCCTCGCTTCTTGGTCCTCGCCAGTTCAAGAGATATTGCTCGTGTCGAAAAATGTGTCACGCAATGGGGGACGAAGCTGCCGGAGGGGCTGCCTCCATCGCGGCCAATCGTGAGATTTTGCCTGCCAACGTCAAGCCGGTCCATTACGATTTGACTCTAGAGCCCGACCTTGAGAAATTCACTTACGAAGGAACAGTGGTCATAGAGTACGCTGGCCCCTTTTCTTTTGCTTTGGGCTGGCCTCTTCTATTTTATTGGCAATGTGAACGCTGGCTGATATTAATATGACCCATAGTCTTGATATCGTCGAGGACAGCACGTCTATTACCCTCAACTCTGTGGACCTTGACATTCATTCGACCACAATCATCCCGGAGAATGGAAGCGAGTTTAAAGCGTCTTCCATCTCGTTGGATAGCGATAAGCAGACCGCTACCGTCAAACTTGACCAGACAATGCGTGCCGGATCCAAAATCAAGATGACGCAAAAGTTCTCCGGGAAACTGACTGACCACATGGCTGGTTTCTATCGATGTTCGTACAAGGATGCCGCAGGCAATACGAAATATATTGCTTCCACGCAAATGGAGCCCACGGATGCTCGACGGGCTTTCCCGTGTTTTGATGAGCCGGCGCTGAAAGCACACTTCACTGTTACGCTCGTTGCGGAGAAGAACCTAACTTGCCTAAGCAACATGGACGTCGCTCACGAGAAAGAGGTTTTGAACGCCGATGGCAAATCGAAGCAGTCTGTGACATTTTCCAAGTCACCGCTCATGTCGACCTACCTGCTAGCTTTCATCGTGGGTGAACTCAAATACATTGAAACCAAGGCCTTTAGGGTACCTATCCGTGTTTATGCAACTCCCGATCAAGACATTGAACATGGCAGATTCTCGCTAGATCTAGCTGCGAGAACATTGGATTTCTACGAGAAAGCTTTCGATAGTGAATTCCCACTTCCCAAAATGGACATGGTCGCGGTCCCAGACTTTGCAGCTGGTGCAATGGAGAACTGGGGTCTGATAACCTACCGAATTGTGGATGTGCTGTATGACCAGAAGACTGCCGGTGCCGCAACCAAGGAAAGAATTGCTGAGACTGTCCAACACGAGCTTGCTCACCAATGGTTTGGGAATTTGGTGACCATGGATTTCTGGGACGGTTTATGGCTCAATGAAGGGTTTGCCACATGGATGTCTTGGTATTCTTGCAACAAGTTCTATCCTGAATGGAAAGTATGGCAGAGTTATGTTGTGAACGATCTTCAACAGGCTCTATCACTTGACGCCCTGAGAAGCAGCCATCCAATCGAGGTTCCTGTGAAACGAGCAGATGAAATTAACCAGATCTTTGATGCTATTTCTTACTCCAAGGGATCTGCGGTTTTGCGTATGGTTTCAATGTATATGGGCGAAGAGAAATTTCTGGAAGGCATTCGGCTGTATCTTAAGAGACATGCATATGGGAACACAACCACGTCTGATCTGTGGGCAGCATTGAGCCAGGTGAGCGGAAAGCCCATTGAGGCCGTGATGGAGGTTTGGACAAAGAAGGTTGGATACCCCGTCGTTACTGTGCAAGAAAAGCCAGACCAGAAGGTTATTTCCATTAAACAAAACCGCTTCCTTCGCACTGGGGATGTGAAACCGGAAGAGGATACGACAGTTTACCCTGTTGTTCTACGATTGAAGAGCAAAAAGGACGTAGACGAAACTGTCATGTTAACCGACCGCGAGCAAGACCTCAAATTGCCAGAATTGGACTTCTTCAAGCTCAATGCCGATCACTCAAGCCTTTTCAGGACCCGCTACAGTCCCGAGCGGCTTGAGAAATTGGGCAGAGATGCCAAAGCAGGCCTCTTAAGCGTTGAGGATCGGGCCGGAATGATTGCTGATGCAGGTGTTTTGGCCGCGTCCGGGTACCAAAAGACTTCGGGAAGTCTTTCTTTACTTCAAGGATTCGATAATGAGCCGGAATTTGTGGTGTGGAACGAGATCCTAGGAAGACTGGGTGCTGTTCGCAGTGCGTGGATTTTTGAGGATGTCCAAGTTAGAGACGCACTGAAAACGTTACAGCGTAAACTCACCAGTTCGAAATCTCATGAACTTGGCTGGGAGTTCTCTGAGAACGATGGACACGTTCTGCAGCAATTCAAGGCTTTGATGTTTGGATCAGCGGGGGCCGCTGGAGACCAAAAGGTTCTTGAAGCCGTGAAGGATATGTTTAGCCGTTTTTCGTCTGGCGACTACTCGGCTATCCACCCTAACCTCCGTGGGAGCGTGTTTGACCTTGTACTCCGCAACGGCGGAGAGAAGGAGTACAATGTTATTCTTGATCGATACCGAAATGCCCCAACATCGGCCGAGAAGAATACCGCACTTCGCTCCCTGGGAAGTGCGCAGCAGCCGGAATTGGTCCAGAGAACCCTTGACCTGTCGCTTTCGGACGAAGTGAAGGCACAGGATATCTACATGCCACTGGCTGGGCTCCGGGTGCACCCCACGAGTATCATTGCGCGATGGGAATGGCTGAAGAATAATTGGGAAGCCGTGGTCAAGCGATTGCCGCCTGCGTTCTCCATGCTGGGTACTGTCGTGCAGCTCTGCACCGCAAGCCTGTCAACCGAGGAGCAACTGAAAGACGTGCAGGAGTTTTTCAAAGACAAGGACCAGAAGGTTAGTGTGATTTCTTCTTGTGCTTTCATTTGCAGACAACGCTTCATAAATCTAGGTCTCTAACAACGATAAATAGGGTTTCGACCGCTCGTTGGAGCAGAGTTTGGACTCCATTCGGGCAAAGGCTGGTTGGCTCCGGCGCGATAGGGACGATGTTAAGTCGTGGCTCGAGTCTCACGGATATCTTGGAGAATCAAAGCTCTAGGAAGTGGACTCGTGGAAGTTTGTGGGATAGACACTGGGTTTACTGTATCTGATGCCGTGTACAGTTCGTGCATTGCATAGGGCCAAAAGGACAGAGAAATGGCGGCAGGCGGTTATTTGATTGGAGATTTACTCCGTAACTAGCTCTAAGGACAGAAATAATACTAGACCTTTCAACTCTATCTCGAGGCTGGCTACACACACACACACACACACACACACATCTAAAGACTAAAGCGAGCATGTGCAAATTGACCCTGACTATTACGTAACCCTCCTCTGCACGTGGCCGCCACAGCCAAGTGCCGGCCAGCCAATCAGAGGGCAACGTGGCTGGAACGAGTGGCCGGCAGTTGTTCTTCCGGCTCTCACGCTCATCGCGACATCTGGCGGGTTGTTTGACAGACGGGATCAGATGGCCTCTCGCTTCGGGTCTCGCTCTCCGTTTCTGCGTTACTTGCAGCTGGTTTTTGGATTCCATTCACTTTGTGTAACTTGCTGATGCCCTTCGTTGCTTTCATTCGCGTTTTGGTTGCTGCCGTGAGCTGGACTCGGTGATATATCTTCACTTGCTCTTCCATTTCTTTTCCTTTTTGATGATGCCCACGATCGTTGTTGAACGCTCCTTGCCAACTACATTCATTTCAACTCTTTGCTGTGTGGTTGTGGAGAGGTGCGAGATTTGAGACTTGATACGGGGGACCCAAAGCCTGGACTTTATTCTCACAATGGCGCATGCTGGTGACCGGACGGCCTTGCTGTCATATCAGGACGATGAGGAGTCGGTTGGAACCACCCCTGCTCAAGTTGAAGCGCCAGTCGAGCGCAATCATCCAACTAAAAGGCAATTCTTCTCAAAGTACGGTAGCAGGGAGTCCTTGATCACTCTCTTGAAGTTGAATGTCGTTACTATTCTGACTACTATCATGCTGATTGTGATCTTTGGTGGGCTCTTGATGCCGTTGTATGATCTCTTTCTTTTCTATCCCATGCTTGGAAGTTGTGCTGATTGCTAGCTCGCAGCGTCTCGCGACAAGTACTCAACAGACGAGGGCTTGTTTGCAACACCATTGAGCTTGGCTACCAATGCAACCAGGAGTACGCGCATCTCTGGGGCCAATACTCCCCCTATTCTTCCTTGAAATCCAAGTCTACTATTTCTCCGGATGTGCCTCCTGGCTGCACCATCACCTTTGCCCAAGTGCTGTCGCGACACGGAGCAAGGCACCCAACTGCGGCAAAGACCAAGATCTATGCAGAGCTCATTGACCGTATTCAGAAAACTTCCAAGTCCTACAAGGGTGATTTCAAGTTTCTTGAAACGTTTCGATACCCATTGAAAAGCGACGAAATGACGGAATTCGGGGATACTCAATTGTTCAACTCCGGGGTTAAATTTTACCGGCGATATCAAAACCTGGCCAAGGGGATCAAGCCTTTTATTCGAGCTTCCGGATCACCCAGGGTCGTCAAGTCAGCGGAGAAATTTATCGAAGGATTTCATCGATCCACTGTCCTCGATCCTGAGGGAGCTGGAAAGGGGACTCCCCCTGTGGTCGGGGTGGTTATCCCCGAGGGGCCATCCAGCAACAATACCCTCGATCATTCTATATGCGAGACTTTTGAAAAGGATAAATCCGGTAAAAACATGCAAACGATATTCCTCAAGAAATTTGCTCCCGGGACCCTCCAGCGCGTGAAATCTCAACTTCCAATGGCAAATATCACCATCGACGACATCCCTTACCTCATGGATCTATGCTCATTCCATACCGTTGCATTAACTCCGGACGCGAGCACAATATCCCCATTTTGCCGCCTGTTTTCCTCTGGCGAATGGATTGATTACGACTACTACCAGTCGCTGGGCAAGTACTACCACTACGGGCCGGGAAATACTCTAGGACGCGAGCAAGGAATCGGTTTTACCAATGAACTGATCGCCCGTCTCACGAATACACCCGTTGTGGATAATACAAACACAAATCGGACCCTTAATGATAACCCAGCCACGTTCCCCCTGAACGCCACACTATACGCAGACTTCAGCCACGATAACACCATGACTTCGATCTACGCCGCCATGGGTCTGTTTAACCGGACGAATCCTCTCCCAGTTGATCGTGTGCAGACTCCAGTGCAGTCAGACGGGTACTCTGCCGCCTGGACCGTGCCATTTGCCGCCAGGGCGTACATTGAGAAAATGAAATGTGAATGGTCGCCGAGGAAGGATGACGAGTTCGTCCGGGTCCTGCTAAATGACCGTGTTTTCCCGTTATATGGGTGTAGTGTCGATGCGCTGGGACGGTGCGAGTTGAAGGATTGGATCAAGGGGTTGAGCTATGCTGTGAATGGTGGGAAGTGGGAGAGCTGCTTTGCTCGGAATCCAGCTGTTTGATGGCTGGCGGTGGAGGTTCGGACTTTGCTTTTGAGCTTCAATCGCTTTTTCTTTGCATTCTTTTATCGATTACGAGTGACGAAATCTAACATGAAGAAAATGGGATGGGTTATGAGGAATGGGACATGGAGTCATTGTATTATCTTCTTCTATTCATAGCACATGATTATTCTAGCAGGTTATTGTACAACCCCTTTACGCACATGGCTTTCGGATTTGCAACGCATTGAAAGTGGGCTTTGACCATGGCTTTTGAGAAAAGCCATTCCATCCCTCCTTAACTTCAAAAGAGTTGAGAAAATATGACACATAGGAGAGGAGTATCGTGAAATGCATGCCGTCGCCAAACACCAAGCCGCCATTTGACCAAGCCTAAATGCTATATAATACACCCAAGCGCCTTTAGAGAAACCAACGAGGACATGCTATCAACACGGTGAGAAAATAAGAACTTTCCAGTTTAGTATTTCCCGTGCAGTTCAATGCGCTTGTACCTAATTCCACAAATCGAATGACGATCAGCTTGTAGTGCTCTCATTTGATGTTGAAATATCTGAAGGCTGGTTTGACGGTTCTGCTGGTGAAAAGGCGTTCACTCCCGGTAAGCTTTTGGGTTGTCGATCGTAAAACACTATATAAGAAAGATGCAGTTAGTCGATCTGGTTATCCATCAAACGAAGCTTCCAAATGTTGTTATCGCATTGCTCACCTCGTTCGTATAATGCGTAACTGGTGTATAATAGAATAGGCAGTGCGACGATCGTTGCTGTCCACCTGAAATATCTCATATTTAGCTCGTTCAGACTCTCACACAGCTCCTAACAAGGGAACTGCATACCTCCTCGCAAAGCTTCGATACTGTTTTGTCTTTCGAATATCCTGTACCGCCGGGTTTGGTTGCATTGGCATGCTCCTTTGCGCCCCAATCCGTGTGATCTGATCCATATTTCGTACTACAGGAGAGGACTGCTTCGTGCCGGGTTTGAAGCTGTTCGTCGGGTCGGGGAGGATTTGGCGTGATTTGGAGATGGAGGATGCCAGCTTGGACGCAGGGGATTTCCCGCCGGCGGATGGTTGTGTCATGATTGTTCAGAATCTGAAGGCTCGGTGGGTTAGGTTTCTGCGGACCGCTTCCTTTTGCTATTTGCTTGATCCCTGATTGTTTGCTTCGGCTTGGGATTCTTTGGCGAGACTTGCCCGACGGTCAAATCAGCGTTCCTTCTCGTCCTTCCCTCTGTTTGTTGTAGACCTGGTTTGCGCTGCGGAACTGGATAGTTAACTTGACTCCCCGCCACTTCTTGCGCAGAGCAACGGTTGCGAAAAAACTCTTAGCCTGCGCCAATTGATACACACCGCAAATAACTTCTCTTGAGATAAAATGTTCCAGGCTCCTGCGTCTTCCTTGAACCTCTGCTCGCTGCTTTATTCTTCCACCGCGGTTGCAGGAGCTGCTGATTGATGTCCTTGCGCTGGATTTAAGTTGGCCCGGAGCCTTTCTTGGCCGTTGATCAGCGATGAACTTTTTTTGCTGCGGGTTTCGACTTTCGACGTCCTGCGTTTCTTCCTCTAATTCTCGAACTGGTGGACAGTGCGGTATGATTAGAATCATACAGTGGTGCAGCAGTTGTTTTCTCAGATGCTGTCGAATTGACAATGTTTTGCTCACATTCAGCCATAATGGAAGGATACGCCTCCACATCCTTGACTTCTCTCCTTTTGCTCCCTGAAGCCTGACTCTACATATACTATGGAAGACAAGTCCAGCCTACGAGCTTTATAAAGAACTGGCTGTCAAGGGATAAACCGTTGCTTAAAGTCTTGATTTGGTTTCTCACCAGCTCCCATCCAAAGGACATATCTCCTTGCAATTAAAAGCCAAATCTCAAGCTCATTGAACGAAATAACAAGTCCATTTTCATTATGGACCTCCCTCTTGGGAGATTGTGATTAAAGCAAATCTTTAAAGAAAAAAGAAAATAAACCCCGGCCAAATGATATCCCGCCCATTTCCCAGACACATCGCCGTTACTCCAACCCCTAACGCCTAATTCCGTCCATTAGCTTCAATACAACTTACCAAGGTGACAAGTACATACCATTTCTGGCCCCTTCCGCAAGCCTAAGTCTGAAGACTTGCATAAAATGCCCTTCGACGGGCCTCCAAATCCACCTCCAGATTGAAATCTGGAGCCAATGCTGTCGAGGCCAGCTCGAGCAGCAGGCAAACCGCCCGCTCGTCTTCCTCTCTGAGGACCGTTAAAACTGGTCTTTCGACCACTTGGCTCTCTATAGAAGAATCTTCGTAAGTTCATTTATCCTTAAAAGCAGTGATTTTTTTTTTTTTTTTTGGGGAATTCTAATATAGCTTACTGGCCTTCTTCCGCTTGCCATTAGCCGCCCGCGGCTGTTTTGGCTTCGGATTCGCCTTTCGCCTTGCCGATTCCTTTAATTCGGCCACCTGGCTATGCGGAGCCATGGTGAAACCGGCCTCCCTAGCCCGCTGGGAGGGCTTTCTGACACGAGTTGATGCTCGAGCCATTTCGGAATCGATAAAAAATATTTTATCTTTTTTTGAAAAGATTTGAGAGGAATCAAAGTGGTGGTGAATATTATGGAGGCTTGAGGACGAGAAGGATCCAAGAAGGAGAGAACTGCAAGATAGTAAGTAGCTTTATATACCTATGGGTTATGAGCATAACACACCTCTCATACCATCTCTCAATATGATGGCAATTGATCAGTCAATAATATATATAGTATTTATTTTGGTATGTTAGTGAATCCATCAGTATTGTACTGTTGTGGATGTCAATAGGGATCCCATTCAAGAGAAGTCTCACGTTGTATGAAATATGCGAGTCAAAACTCACTGCTTTTCAATGCCATAGGGTGATATTATTTATCCGCCATTGTTGAACTGGCTGTGCAGAAAGTCGATTGATAATCGAATCCCAACTGTACCTAGAATCAAGGTAAAGCAATTGACAATTCAGCATTGTATCTGCATTTGCTATAACTGGTATTGTGATGGATCATCAACAGCGGATAAAGCATGTTGAGATTTCATATTCTTCATGAATCCTATTGTATGTGTTATGGGGGCCTTCCAACCACCCATTCATTTGATAGATAGTAAATGAAGTGTTGCCCCTTCAGGTTGAAGCCTGAAGGAAATCTCTGTGATAAATAAATATAGATCACTAGTGTGAGCCCAATGTGAGCTCAGGGTGAGGGCAGATTCCTCACTTGAGGGTCAGACGAGAAACTGAATCCCAAACTTGCGACGAGAGTGACTGCTTTCAAATGCTTCGCAGTTGAAGCGGTTCACATGGTTTTGGAAAATGCCGGGTTAACAGGAGCACCTTTTGGTAGTTGGGAGGTTGAGCATCAAGGAGAATTTAAGGGAAATGCCTGGTTGATAATATCTAAATGAAGTATTGCTAAAAATTTGAGCGCTGTTGCAGCGGTTTTTAGTACGGGTGTTCGAGTATTATTATTAGAAAAGTATTCTGATATTAGAGTCAGTTGCTCTTCGGGTTTTGCTTTTTATTCGTAGGCGCTGCGAATAACGATTCCGTATCAAGGGGGGGGATCGGGAGGAGGAAACTGTGGCTATCATGTAGTTGTGCAAAGGATGCAGCTTCCGGCGTCTTCCTAAAAGACTAGAAACAAGTCTAAAAAGAAGAACTGATAATGAAGCTGATACAGAGGGCCATCACAGTGTCGTAAGAACACAGCCAAGACACATTCTGGAGAACCGGCTCGGCCCGGCCCGGGTCCGCCTCAGATGTTGATCGAGAGGATATAAATATTATTGAATTTGATATTGGAGCGGGAACATTAATAATGACCTGCGAGAGACGTTGACTGCTTGGCTCTGTTGATGCAACGTCCCGAGAGCTTCCTTGACAACCCTGCATTGCTTGCATTTGCTCCCTCGTTATTAGTGGACGGAACTCCACAACCAGGATGCTCAAGGCCAATTGTCATCGACGTTATTGTGGCTTTGGACAGCCAAGCATTTCTGCTGCTTTTCGATTGAGACAAACAGACGCATTCTGGCGGTGCAAGCGGTGTTGTCCAACGAGCAGAGACGCACGATGCTGCTCTTTTCCCGCCTGAGAACCCATGTCAAGGCCCCTGGCAGTGGAATAGGGACGGCCATATTCACTGATTGGCCGTTGTAAATTGAAGCCCTTGGAATACCAAAGATATAATCCTTGTCGCCTGTTTCCAAGCCCCTTTTCCAGTTCCGGTGATGTGGAAATGGCTATGATGGCTCAATTTTGGGCAGCGAGTCGCTCAAGGCATGCTGCTGCTTGTCGCACCGCATGTTCGCCCTCCGTTTGGCGTCCTTCGATGCAACAATGTCCCTTTTGAGATCCCACATCTAGCCAGCCAGAGATAGCAAAAACAGTGAATCTAGCAGCGTCATTCTATCATCGCGCGTTTCAAGGCCAAAATGCGGTCTGCTCATGCCCTTCTCGCTACCGCTGCGGTTGTTGCGGCTGGCGCTGTGAAACGAGACGGAACCCCATCCTGCGCAGTGAGATATATTTCGGTCCCTACTTCCAAGGTTTGGAGTATTGACTGGGGAGAGATCTAGGAGCCTTGTTTTCAAACCGCTGTGAACGACTATGGCTGCGGCAAGTGGCTATCAGACCCAAAGTGTTGCGAGTCAGAAGACTTCCTGAGGCAAGTCGCCCGATGCCTCATAGACGACTGTCCAGACAGCGATGGGTCAACTGCTTGGGAAACGGTGAGGACCGAGTGCCATACCATCATTGCGGAATGGTCTGAAGCGAAAGATATACTTGGAGATGATTCAACCTCAACAGTGAGCAGTGAAAGCTCCACGCCGTCCACTACGAGCTCATCTACCGAGACCGAATCATCTGAACCCACTACAACCACTGATTCGCCCGAGTCTTCTTCGACAGTTCCTGATTCTTTGACTACATCACTCTCCGTTCCTACATTCTTATATCCAACTCCCTCCGATTACCACACGCCCCTTCCGGACGACTATTATCCCTTTCGCGACAATAGTTCTGGCCTGAGTACTGGCAAAATCGCAGCTATTGGTGTCGTAGTACCGCTGGTGGTTATTGTGATATTGATATGTCTTTTCCAATGGTTCCGGCGGCGAAGGGGTTACCGGGATATCTGCACAGAGACTCCAGATCCGGAGCCAAAAGCGATGCCGGACGCTGAGGAACACCCACCGGTGGTTCACGAAATCGGTGGCACTGAACTCAACGTAAATGATAGTGGCCAATTTCTTGAATTGGAGGCGATACCTGCAACACCCAAGCTTGAGACCAGCACGCCCGATAGCCCAAGGGCTTCTCAGTCCGAACGAGGCCTTGCCGCTTCACCGACTTGGAATCTACAGGCACCCGAAGAGCTAGATGCCGCTAGTACTCAGGCTACAAGCTCCAGTCATCAACGGGGTGGCAGTTCGTCGAGGCTCTCTGAGCCAGCACCATCTTCAAACCGAGTCTCTGCCGTCTCAGCGGCTCCTCTGATCCCGCCTAGGCCACCATCCACACCAGACCCTTCATCGTCGCGTCGCGTATCAGCAATTGAACCACCAGCCGAGCCCGCATCCGACGAAAGTAAGGAAATAGATGGCCTGCTATCGAATCTGGCGTCTTTGGAACAACGGAAAAGAGAAAGAGTGTCGCAGCTGCAGATGCTGCAAGAAGAAGAGGCGGCGATTCTGGAGCAGATTCGAAAGAGAGCTGCGGGGGATTCACCCCGGCCATCACAGGACCAGACGTAATGATACGAGGGTAACGAAGCGCATGGAATCCTGGAATATTAATGTTATTTTCTTTCCATAAATGGATGCTTTGCCTGGAGGCTTGATCCCCCTATATGGCGAATTCCGTCCTGTCTGAGATACAAGTTCGTGATTGTTGAGGAGAATATCCCACCAATTGGCAATACCTCTGATGGATTGCTGCATAAACAGGTTTTGATTTTGTACATATACACGGGCTACATAAGCGTGTCTGTTTTGCCGCCAGTCAAAGCATGATGGGCTCTTGGGCTATTTATACTAGAGCACTGATTGCCCAAGATGTTCAATCGTTCTGATATCCGCTAATCGAACTCCACATTCGTCTAGTTGACCTCCCCATGGCACACCAGCACATGATGTCTGCAGCCTTGATGAGAAGGAAAAAGTTGGCAATGCTTCCAGTTCTAGAGATATCAAAAGGATGGTGAAAACAAAGAATATATTCCTAACCATTGAATAGGGTTGGGATTGTCTAGAAGGCAGTCTTGAACCTGCTGGAAACTTCTTCAAATCCCTTGACTTTATTTCACCAACAAAGACCAAAGAAGACAGGTAGATATCAAACTGCTTGCAGTTGGGTATATAAGACACCATGGAGAAGGATTTCTCAGACCACAAACACTGTGTTTTGACACATACACTCCGTAGCCCCATTGCAAGGATCGAATTCGAAACAAAGTGACAAGAACCTCATAAAAATGACATTGAGTGCTGTTTCCAAACCCATTGACAAAAGCGAAACGGCAAGTAACCTGTTTCCAAACCTAGGATAATGATAAAACATGACAAGGGTCTTTTCTTTATCTCATAGTCAATAGTATCATTATAAAATGATGCTTCTGCTTGAGGACACGGACAATCCTCTTGACTCGCTACAGCAAGAAACAAACGCACGGCTTTGAGATCCAGCATTCTACTCAAACAAAACAAGTTGATAACCCAGAGGGCTTTGCTCTGTTGGGATCCACAGAAAGAAGATATGGAAGACATACTGCGCGAACTGTCAGAGATTAAAGGTCAAATTGGAATGCTCGAGAAACAAAGCGGAGCACTTGACGAGAAATACACGGCGCTTGAGGAGAGAAGTATGTCACTTGAAGAGAAATACAAGATGCTTGAGGAGAGAAGTATGTCACTTGAAGAGAAATACAAGATGCTTGAGGAGAGAAGTATGTCGCTTAGGGAAAAAACCAGCGTGCTTGATAACCATGTAAGAAGCAAGCTTGACTGGAAAATGAGCAATTCTGGCTAACCTGGTATTCGAAACGAGATCGCAGGCGGTGGTGATATCCTCGGTGATATCATGACTATCCAGTACTGCCAAGAGCAGCAGCTGCCATATGTTGCTGAATACAAGGAAGATTTTCAAAAGGCGTATCGAATAGCATTTGACAAAGCCTTGATAGAAGCTCCATCATATCCCCCGGAAGTTATCCGAGCATTCGACATCTGGGCCTCAGTTCATGAACTCAGTGCCTGGCAGGCTCACGATAATAAAGCAACGCGAGAGGATATCAAAAAGCAGGCCGCTGGGATTATCGACGCAGCATTGAGCACCGAGAAAAACCAGCTTGAAGCACGATTGGGAAATGGAGGGGACTTGCGGGTAGCTTTTGATACTATGGTTCGGCTGTTTACGGCTGGTCGATGATAGGGTCTGAGCATAAGGGAATTTTGTTGAAATGAGGAAACTCGATGGAGGGAAGCAGTGATTGATGGTAACTTCAACATTACACGACAGATTGCTTATAGTTCGGCCGTGTGTATGATTCAAATGATATTCATCACCCCCAATGTATTGCTGGTTATAAGGTGTTGGTGAGGAAAGTAACAACCTATCCCGCGTTTTTTTCCTTTATTTTTACATCCATATGGCAGGCATCAAGCCCGTCTATCATATCCCCATTCCTCGTACCAGCAACCACAGCACCAACGGGACAACAACATTGTCATTCCCACCCGTTAGCACGGCCTCTGTGAAGCTGGATCCGGCAGCAGCCAGCATCGCCTTAACCAAGGTAGTCCGCATCGAGATACCCGACTGCCAACCCCCCAGTACAAGCCACACTCTGGCCACCATTATCCCTGCAAAGACTGCCACAGCAAAGGCAAGACTGCCTTCTAAACTCTTATCTCCTCCCCAAAACCACCTTTTGCGTCCATACCGTCGGCCAACTAGTGATGCTGCTGCGTCGCCCATGCCCACGCATACCACGCCGCTGACCATACTGATATCCCTTCCTTCAATCTCCCAGCCGGCCCAAGGTCGGTTTCCCGCATGTGTTGTCCCAGCCAGACTCAACCAAAGAGGTATGGCACAGCCAATCAGAAGGAAAAAATGCGAGACGATAACGGGCCCGCGGTAGTCTCTCCCATCAGTGTAAGGGGCAAGAAAGTATGTAATCGGTTTAGATATCGGAGGGAGTTGCGAGGCTCTAAAAAGCTCGAGGAGAAGAAAAATGGCGAGAATCAATGTCATAGCCAGAGCAGTGAAGGCTGGGTCTATAAAAGTTGTGGGAAGGAACATGGCCACCATCATGCCGTGGAATATTTTGCGCCGGGTGTCCACCTCAACGACTGTACTCAGTCGAATCACCAACACCATGCCCACAAGAAGAACGAGCATGCAATACGCACAGATAATAAGTCGGGTGTTTGCTTCACCAAACGTGTCGCGCCGCAGGTGTTCAATCCATCCCAGGCGACAAAATTTAGTGGTTGTGTCAGACCATGGCGGCAGACATGCCCAACGGTCGAGGTTAGATGTAACTAACCATAGTCTAAGCGAAGGCGTATTGCCAAAAAGGTAGCCGACGGCCCAGCCAAAGGGTTCCTGCCCCTGGAGAGCATTTTGGGCCGATGTACGTTCGAACCGGAAGCATTACGATAAGTAAAACTGTAAGATATACGAACACTGCGTATGCCCATTTTCGAACTTCTGCTTGGACCAAGGTCAATGATAAAAATGGGCGAAGGTTGGGGGGTAGGCATCGCTTTCGCCGGCCGCTCGGAGTGGTCCTCACATCACTCATGGTAGAGAACGTGTGCCGTCGCCGGTGCAATGAGGCCTTTGTTTCACCGAAAGGTGGATCGGGGACGTCAACTTTGTCCATGGTAGAGAATGATTGTTGACGTTTGGCGCTGGACGACGCCAAATCGTTTCCAGCTTCAGGGCGAGTAGTTGCTGAAACAAACCACCCATCACTATCGTCAGATTGAGATCGGCCCCCATTCTTCAAAGATCCATAGATTTTATGGCAGAAATGACGATCGATAGAGCTCCAGAACCCTCTCGACTGAGTTGGCCCATGCGATGGCCGACGAAACTTCCAAGATGGTATCCGCGCCAATACAACCTCCCAGTGAAGCATATGCCTACAAGTCACAAAGACGCTGAGACCACCAAGCCAAAGAAGAGCTTTGAAGATCTCAGCCTGTGGCGACTGGGCGAATAACAGGCTATTTAACAATCCAGTAGCGAGCAGAGGGACTTCGGCAGGTAACAGACTCGTCGTCACGAGAGACTGTAGAACCAAAGCCAGCGCCTGATGGAGCGGGAAAAGTAGAACCAGCACTTCCGGGTGTATGCCGAGTAGGAAGAGGGGCTTAGCTGCGTAATCCGCGGCAATCAAAGGGATAATCGTTATAATCCAATGGGTAAGGCTATATCCGTGGACCATGTATTGAAGAGGAACAATATATGGAGGTAGCGAAGCTAGACTGAGTATAATATTAGGCAGGATCAACGCGTTAGCAGCGCCTGGTAATGACAGGGCCACCAGAACGGGCAAGTTTATAGGATATATTAACGGAGCGGGATCGAAGTCGCGAGAAAATGGAAAAAAAGCAATGCTTCTGAGCGCTGACCAATGTAGTCTGCGAAGGTATATCCGTAGTGGAAGTAGTATATATAAACTGATAATCAAGATGATGAACGTCCAGAGCTCTAGAACAATATCAAAGTATTAGTGTCAAAACCATTCCTCGCCGAAACGAACATACCTCTTTTCCAAACTCCAACAACTAAGCGAATTTCAACAGGTAAAAGCGCCGTCGCTGCCACCATAAGTATCAAAACTGTCTCGCATACCCTCCGAAGAACCTCTACCGTCCATCTTCGCCTAGTCCGCTGTCGTATATAAGTCGATTGAGATTCCGCCCTCACCTCGGAACGCCTCCGACGACCCTTCCCGCGTCCTTTCAATCTCTCCGAAACCCCCGAATCCTCGTCCTCCCCAGGTGTAAGCGTATCCCTTTTCGGTAGCGGAGCAGGCAGCCCCTTCAAGATACCATTCCCTTCATCATCCGCATCTGTCCCGCTATCACTCGATGCCTTCCGGCTTCGCACCCATCTAGAACTATATTCACTAGATGCCGTCTCGGAACCAAGCTGTTGTTCCGTGCGTCGCCGGCGGTACGGGTGCGGGGATCTCGATAATCTGCGGAAGGACTGGTTGCGGGCGACTATCTGGATGTGCGAAGAATGGCGAGCTACATCTTCGTCGATGGTGCCGTCTGTGTCTTTGGATGCCATGCGACCGAGATGGGGATAGAGAGAGTCGAGGGAGCAGTTGCGTAATGGGTGTTGATGCTATGTCGGCCGTATCGCGTGATCCATGCTGGGGAGCATGCGTAAGCTTCAAAGCGAAAAGCCCTGTAGTTGGCAAATGCTGGGTACTGTATTGTTGATGGAATTTGCAAGTTCAATGTCACTTGTTCAAGACAATCAGGAGGTTTCGACGGTTGCGGAATGATAGTGGTTCAGTTCAAGCTGTGGGTTGTGCTGTTCACATGTCAAGACTAAAGGCCACCAAAAAAGCTCCTGAAGCTTGAACCAACTGGCTTCAAGACGTCGAATTTGCAGCACCGGGCCATTTTTTGATATATTTGTCCTTTAATTTTGTTGAATTTCATTTAATTTATTGATTTATTTTTATGGCAACAAGCGTACATTTGGCTTATTCTACGATACCTATGATATTTGCGGAGACTGTTCTGTAGTTAACGGTGAGCTGAAGCACTGTTGAACGAAACCATCTTTTTGATTGAATCATTACTGTAGCTGGTATTGCTTCTGCTATTCTAGAAAGACTTCGCGTGTAAAACAATCGCTGCAGCAAACTCCCGTCCACCGCGCCCCCAGACCGATCTGCAAGGCACCGCCTGGCCTGGCAGCTCTCGGCGGCAGGCAAATAAAGGATCGTATATAATCGTATGACAACGCGTAACTTCTTTCGCGCGTGTTCTCGCCAAATCCATAGCTTTTTGTACGGATTCTGCCGCATCTGTAGATTCCCCTTTCTCAATACCAACGACAACATACTCCCCGAAAGGGCCTAATGAATGGCTGATATAGATCCCATTCAAGTTTTCCTCAGTGATTTCAGTATGAGCAGATCGGATCCCTAGACCCTGCCATTCAATATCGCTGCCGCGAGGAAGCTCGTCGACTTCAACGGCCAGAAAGGGGGCGACCTTGGTCGGGGAGCCGACAATTTCAAAATCAGGGAGGCGAGAGATGGTCGGTTTTATCCGACTCAAATCCTGTTTCCGTCCGTATTTGATATCCCAAGCATCCAGCGTTGACTCTTCATCTTCATCTTCATCCGATAAAGTGTTCGGTGTGGTCATCCTCTCCCAAATGTCTGATGTAGCAACCACCTTTGCCGGGATCTCATCTCCCTTTGCGATAAAGGCCACAGCGCCTAGCCACCACTGAACCTTCATCGCCCTCCCAATTCTCCAGAGATGCTGAAGAGACAAGGTTGCATGGTGGGTGAATATTGATATGCGATCCCCAGAGCCAGTTTCCGGTCTGGCCAGTTCCATCGACGATGGATCCAACGGTATTTGGCCAGCAATATATACCACCCCGCCATCTTGCTCAAATCTAGATTGACCTTCGAAGGGCACGCCTATGGCTTGCGAATACGGGCCAATGTTTGCGGGTGCCCAATACGACCGGGACTGGACATGCAGGCCTGTCCTGTTGTCTGAAGACCCAAGGTCTATCAAGAATGACACCAAGATGTCGACTCCTGAAGGGAAGCTGTCACCACAGGCCACAGTTACCCGTGCTGGAGGGTTAGGTCGTTTGAACATCGAGCCGTAGATCGAATTAACAGGACCGAAGTCATCCATGGATCGAAGAAGGATTGTTGTGAAGATAATGTCGTCTGGGGAGAGGGTGGCAGCATCTTTACCCTGGGGCTTTAAGCGTAGAAGACTGATAAACTTCTCCCCAATAGCATTCATCTGTGCCGCAGCTCCTATGCCGGCTTCAGAGGCAGACAGATTGGATATAACCAGAGTTTTCCCTATCCTTGATTGAAATATCTCAATAGGCAAGGCCTTTGCCCCCGGTGTCGTCCAGTTATCGTATGCCCTAGCGGCGACATATTTATGCCGATTCTCCAGCACCCTTTCCAGTGCTTGTTTGAACTCACCGTCGAACAGTTGCGGAACTGGTAATTCGCTTAACCCATTTGCAGCCTCGCTCCTCGTCTTTTCAACACACTTTGCGCCTTTGAACCTCAGGAACGCAACACCACCTTCGCCCTTTTCCCGTACAATGTCTTCAACCTCAATCTTCTTGCGCCACAGTTCCCTTGGGCCATCCAAGGCTAAACTTTCATACTCCCCTCCCTCTCCCAGCACGGCTCCTTCCACGCCTTCTTCCAGCATCATGCCCATCTTCTTCACCAGCTCTCGTCTCATACGACCGTTTTTGCTGGAAACATTCTCCCACAGCATCTCTTCATCTAGCCCACCACTTGCCACTTTGATGATTCTCGCTTCACACTCACAAGCCGCCATGTCCTCCAACAAGCCTGTCACAGAACCCACCGAGTCCGCAGACAGCCCTGTACGCCCCACGGGAGGTGCAAGATAGGGATACATCCACAGCCAGGCAAGCGGTATCAAGCCCAATCGCCCTGCGATATTTTCAATGCGAGTGCGTTGATATGTCGAGAGAATGGCCCCCGCCGATACCGCGTTGATTTCTGGGTGCGCATCCATGACATGCCGCAGAAGATCAAACAAACACTCGGTCTCATCCTGTCCGCTCACATTCTGCGCGCACACTTTCTCTGGAGTCTGATAGTCTCGGCCCGTATCCACTGCGGTGCCGCTAATCTCTCGTCGATATAGCGGGATGCCCAGCGCTTCTTGATATAGGGGAATAATACTATGTCCAATGGTTTGGTACATGTAGCTATCCATATCAACGCCTTCATCTTCCACTTCGGCGTCCCCGGCTGGCTTCAAGGGAGGGTGTAAATTTGCCAGCGCTACCACGTTGTGCCCATTTTTCAGGCAATGTAATATGGAGTATAGAGAGTCCTTTCCACCCGATATTAGGGCCACAACGTTCAGCTTTTGTGGCATAATGAAAGTGCAATGATTTGCAGGTTCAAAGTCGAGAAGTTCCAGTTCGTCGTATGAATTTTTCCTGGGACAGTGTCCAAACTGTAGAGAAATGATTTGAAGTCACTATCTGTTAAGGGTTATCGCAGTCATCTGGCCGTTCGGTGGATAGAAAGGTTTAAAGCTGATTAATTAGCCCCTTCACTTCAGCAAAAAATGCAGGCATTCGGAGATCAGATACATAAGGACGGGGTAACATTGAGTCGGTTAACACAACCCGCAAAAAAAAGATATCAAGATAGTCGACACCGGCAGGATTCGAACCTGCGCCCCCGAAGAGATTGGATACCCTAGGAATTCGAGTCCAACGCGTTAACCACTCCGCCACAGTGCCGCTTGTTCAGGAAAATCGGAAACTGGATATCATACGCTCATATGCCAAATGACGGAGAAACAAACTGCAAGAAGGGATTTGTGTGCAGGTAGAAAAAGGCAAAGAAGTTGAACTGCATCCCGCTTGTTATCCCGCTCCCAAATGCCGTTCGATGTTGGTCGCAGTATACAAAATAACCTTGGGACGAACGACCCGGAGAATTTTCCGAACCCAACATGTGCCAAGTGTACTCCCGAAATAGCGACGGTAACCCCGCTCGACTTCAGGCCTTCATTCATTTCGACTGCCAGGGAGTGGGTGACCGACCCCAGGGCCCAAAGACCCAAGATTCCAAGAAAATAAAAACTCACGCAAAAAATATGAAGAACAAAAAACGATTTCGACACCGGCAGGATTCGAACCTGCGCCTCCGAAGAGATTGGATCTCGTAGGGGGATTCAAGTCCAACGCGTTAACCACTCCGCCACAGTGCCCATCTGGAAGAACTTTGACAAAAAAGAATACAATCACGGCTGGAGCCGGATGAAGTGGGATTTTGTCCTTCATTCAAGTACCTCATTTCCCCTGGATGTGTGAGCATTCAGCATGCAATGACTCGCAACCTCGTAGCCTAGCTATTTGCTAGCATGCTGCTGCTAGAAACTGCCTGTACTCCGTAGCACAGACCAGGTTCCATGGTACCCCCTCGCCAGGATGCCCGACGCTGATATATCAATCTTATCTGAACCCGGCTGCCCATATAACTAACTAATACGGTGGTTACTCCAGGAATAGAACCAGATGCAGTAACTATATCGAGTCCTTTGATGGACGACTCAATTTCAATCGACTTGGCCCACGGCCCACTAGCCACCTGCCCTATTTTTTAGAGACCAAAATTGCATTGTCACACCATCGGAGAGATCGGTACCTAGGATGCTCGAGTCCACATTATGCGTCTCCCCGGGACGTCGGCACCAAGGAATTCCAAAGTACAAGAGTATGTATTACTCCGAGATACAAGATATTAGTTACACGCGGCGTGACCACCTCATCGGCTGGATATCAAATCAAGCAAAACACGGCTGAAAGCGAAAAACAAGGACTCAATGTGGGCATGCCATAGAATCATTGAGAATGCTTAAGAAAGAGCCTGCAAGGAAATTACTATGTACATATCCTCAAATCATAGTGGAACGAACACGCAGGGCAACATGACTAAATTCTACTTCAAACCATTTGGGAATTGAGCTTGACATTGACGGCTCAAGAAACTGTTTGCGATTAAAAGGTCATGACTGAGAAGAAAGATCAATAACCTAGTATCAAGATCTGGACAAAATATCAAGGCTTCACGGCAACTAACCTCCATAAGCTCGAAGAGAAGAATTATATCCTGACCACATGGTGAGGAAGTGAAAAACCTGATTCAGGAATAATGAAAGTGCTTGGAGTTTTTGACAAGTCACAAGCAGAAGAATAATCATGATTAAAAGCAATATTATACAGCAGAAGTAAAAAGTAAAAGCAGCGAGAGTTGACAAAAAAATAAGGGAATTAGATGAGGAGAGTCATCACAAGTGTGAGAATGGTTGGACGCGAACAAAGGATTGATTTACAGAAAATAGAAAAACATGAGCCAATCCAACTCAAGATGCTAGTAAGTATCACAACAAACGACGAGCAAGGGAGGTTGAAGCAGAAAGATAAGATGTTTGAATGATCGCTCCAGCGCTTTATCCCCGTTTCCACCTGTGCGGCCCATCGAAAATGATGGTATTTTGATCGAAAATATCCCCGGAACTCCTTTCCTCAACCATTGTCTATATTGTAGAATGATGCAGCGCATGCAATGACCCGTTCTTCAAAAGCAGTAGAGTTCCTCGGGATGGAGCAGGGAATAGTACCGAAGCTCGCAGCGGCAGAGATGAACTAAGTAAAAATGATGCTCCAGAGTTCCATACACCAATGACGCCTATATATGTCCCGATAGAGAAAGAGAAATGATTCAATGAGATAGCCCGTCCCAGGTCCTGGGTACAATCGTGGCAGACCGGTATGGTTTGAAGAATCACTGCTCCCGCTTGCGCTTCTTAAGAGGGCGCTTGCGCTCAGACTCGACGCTTCGGGAGGACGAAAGACTGCTATCAGACTCGCTGGTGGTTGATTGATATGCGGCTGCACGGGCAGCTTCGTAGAGTACGGCTCCCAATGCTCCAGCATCCTGTTCCTCGTACGCAGGAGGCCCAGGAAGTGGTGGCGACGACGTTGGTAATTGAGGACGAGACTCCCGTGGCGGAACGACGTTCATAATGAGTGAAGTGTTTCCGTGGGTTCGCGCATGCTGGGCGAGGTTATCACTGCGAGAGAATTTCTTTCCACATTCTGTACATTCAAACGGCTTCTCCTCTGTGTGAAGGGAGCGATAGTGGCGCTTAAGGTGCTCCTGGCGGCGGAATCGTCGAGAACAAAGGGAGCAGACAAAAGTCTTAGAAGGGTCATCTGTCAAGGACTGTTTTCGGCCACGACGGCTGACAGGGACAACGGGCGGCGGAACAGAAGTGCCAGAAGCATTGGTCGATGGTTGGTTTGACCCGGCATTCTCTTGCTTAGGAGTGTTGGACTGCTGAGCCTGGTTAGCTGGCGAGTCCCCGTTCGCGTTGCCCGCGCGGTTATCCATGTCACCATCCGCTTCTCCAAAACTCGAGTTCGCATCATTTTCGGTCGACACTGAACGTTTCATCGATTTCCGTTGGTGCGACCGCTTCTTGGTTTTCATCGACTGGACTTCTGTCACGTTTGGTTGGGGGGTTTCAGAGTCGAGAATGTGCAGCTCGGGATGGGCGAGAAGTTCGTTTTCCTCCAAATCTTCCAGGCTCTGTTCGCTCACCAAATCATCATCGTCCGAGGGGTAAAGAGCAAGTCGTCGACGTTTATCGCCCAGGAAAATGGTATCGTCTGAAACGGCAAAGTTGACAATTCCGCTCACAAATTCGTCGTCGGAGTCGAGATCAGAGAGGCTCTCAAACGTAGGTAAAGAAGTTAGCGCGTCCGCGGCGGTAATTGAATGGGTGAAGCTGCTAGTTGAATGGCTTTCTGAATGTTCTAAAGTATCAACAACACTAAGAAGAAATTTTTCACTGTCTTCTTCGCTCGAGCTCAGAGATGGGAGAGGCGGGAAGTCAGAAGTGGAAAACGCTGAACATTCGACAGTCAATTGACGGGGATCACAGAAGTCTGAACTGCAAAGCGATGGTAGGAGCGGAGTTGATGCGGCGTCGGTCAAAGTCGTCACAGGCGAGGGTGAAGGAGAAAGTGAGGGACAAGAGGTGTTTGTGGAGACCTGGGATAGCCCCTCCTCGGCGTTGTGGCTGGCAGTGTGGCTAGCTGGAGTCGCGGACTTGGGAGGATGAATATAAACTAAAACAACACAAAACAAAACAGTCAGTGCACGTTCAGCAGCGCATTCTCAAGATCGATATGAAGCTTTGTCTCCGTTTTTCTTTGACGCGGTGGTGGTGTTGTGATGTTAGTCAGACGCCAAAGTTTGTGGGTTGTTCCTGTCAGGTTCACCCCAAAAATTTTTTTGTTTGATTCTGACAACTGCAACAGAGATGCGCCCAGGGCAACCATTTTTGATGATTTTCACAACAAAAATCAATGACAACTTACCAGGTGTCAGCGGCGGGGAATTCGACCGTGTCCAATCACCATTGGCTAGAATCTCGGATTTCACGTCTCCTTCGCAACCTTCCTTGACGCCCTCGATGCTTTCGAAACGGTAGAAACTTCCGTTTACCGGGGTCTGCAGCATCCCGCAGCTCGATGGCGGACTGCTAATCGTGCTTCCTGAGGTGGACAACGGAGGTGTTGATGGAAAGGTGTGAAAGTCAGTGATGCAGTTAGTATCAATCGGGACAAGTCCAGGAGACCCGTGAAGCAATATGCTTGGTTTGATATGCAGCGGACGGGGCGAGACACTTGGACTCAGCATCATCTCGTCGTTGAGGAAAGTTTTTGGTGCCATGTGCTGCATCGGCCCTGGCTGGTGGAGCATGTGGCTGTGGTGCTCTTGAATCTGCTGTGGATGCTGTGCGCAGTACTGGTCGTGGGTAAATACCGGCCGGTTGCCTGTCGCCGCGTGCATCTCTGCAGGATGGGTTGAGAAATAACCATGCTGCCCGGCGTGAGCGTCGGGATCGGGGTTGTAGTAGAAGAACGAGGATTGGCCGGCGACAGGAGCAGACTGGATTGTGTACGTCTCCATGGTGGCTAGCAGATGTCTTCCACTCAATCAGCCACAACCGGACGTAGACAAATCAGTGCTTGAGCCAGGGCTACGTCGTCCCTGCTGGCGAGTTACGAAACGTACCGTTCAGTTATGCGGAGGATTCTTTTTTTATCCCCTCAAAAGGAATTTTCTCCTCGTGCAACGGGTGGTGAAATGGTTTTCGTGTGTGAGAGGTAGTGACCGCCCTAGCCTCTGTGGTCTCTCGGGTATTACGACTAAATCGACAAGTTGGGACTTGGGGGGGTAAATCGGTGCTGGACTCGTCGGGATATATTAATTGCCAAAAAGGAGAAAAAATGAATATTGCAGATTGCTTTAACAACGGTGATAGCGCGAGGGCCAGAAAGGATCGTGAGAAGTGCAGATTGCAAAGGCTTGCTTGTTTTATAAGGAGTGACTGTTGGAAGGAGGGAATCAATGAATCGACGCGAAGGGCATGTAGTATCTCGCAGGTATGTGACTGCCCGCGATAGACAAGAGGATTTGTGGTCGATATTGATCGGAAGATGGGAATCGTCAAGGACGCATTATCGAGGGACGTATAGCGGTGGTTTGGACTGTGTGCTTTCGAGGGTAAATGAGGGACTGAAATGGGGAGTCACGCCACAGAGAGGACACGGCAGCGAGCACCACGAAGAAACTAGCTAAATAAATAGTATGAAGAGAAATAAGATAAGAGTAAATATTAAAAAACGGAATAGTGAAAGCCACCGAGAACGACAATCCAGAAGAGAGGGAAGAGAGGGAGAGACTAAAAAAAGAGTGTAAATCTGGCGCTGGGTGAGAAATATAGAAGAGAAGGGAAGAGAGCGACAGACTCCACGTTTCCGCCCAACTTTTTTTCTTTTAGGAGGGGAAACGCAAGAGACGAATTAAAGCGAGCGATAGGTGGATTACAATCATAAGAATAATAATTAATGGGAAAGAAACGAGCGGCGAAAAAGAGGAGCGAGAGTTGTGTGGTGGTCGCTTGGTCCTTCGAAAAGGAAGAGAGGAGGAAAAGGCGACGCGGGAGTGGTTAATCTAAAGAGCCCAAATCCATACTAATCAATTGCCTATCAGATGTTACAGGACCCAGCGTTGGCCAGGACATGGAGTTGCGATTCAGCATGAACCGATTTCAGGGCCTCTGCTTGGGTCGCTGGCTCGTTTCCCGCCCAGAGGGGTCAACGCAACTCACTAAGTGGACGCTCCAGCGTTCCAAGACCCTGTCAGGAAAGTCTGGCATCCTAGTCCAAGCTGGCCTGGGGCCGTCTTCTCGGACGATGGCGCAGTTGGAGAGGCCAATCCACCCACCGTGCTGATCCCCGGCGGTCTCCTCGATTCCCAGTGGTCGACGGGACTCAACCAGTCACACCGTTTCAGCACCAGTCGAAGGAATAACGAGAACCCACGGATGGGGAGCAGTCGGGCCACAGGCGATTTTCTCCGCATCTGTTTGGCTCTGGCAAGAGACACGCATATGACTCTATTTTTTTTGTGAAATCGCATGCTGTCCTCCGGAAGATTATTTTTTTCACCAGCGGATAAATGTTGGCGCTGAGCTATTACCCTGGTTTCTGGCATTAAACGCCGGCTTGTTGGGTCCCCATCTTTGTCCTCCTTTGACCACCACGACACTACTGAGAAAGGACGTCGAATGCCATCCAAGAGCGCAGGTACGGAGTATGCACAGGATCATTCCCGCTCATGAGATTTGAATCCGTCAAATGAACGATTGCGGTGTGGGCCGAGTTTCCAGGAACCAACCGCCAGAGTGGGGGGTTTTTTTGAAGAAGAGCCTGACTCTATTTTATTATTTGCACTTGATGGCGAGGACCTCAAAAGTCAAATAAAAAGGCAGCCAGCGAGCGCCTGTCAAGAAAATGTCCTGGTGGTGTGGGAGCGATCAGACAGCCAGACCATGATCAACAGCAGCCGGACATTATTGGCAAATTGCAGCACTTTGCTTGTGAGAGTTGTGCATTCCCTTCCCATGTCCATCGAATCGGGTAAAGCTGCCAAGGGGTCTGGATGGAGACCACAGGAAGAGTGAAATGCGGAGGGTGAACCGCTGTGCAAGGGTTCAGTCTGGCGTAACTCATTCCTTTCGGCTACTTCAGAGGCTGGCCGCTATCCAGACCGCATTTGTCGCAGGTGCCCCATGCCGCTTGGCGTGATTGGTGAGTTGCCTCCAATTGACGCCAAAAAGCCCAGGCTTTTATTAGCTGCCCTCGAATGGGGCGACCGGGATGGGCTGCGAGGCAGACCATCAAGGTTCCTTGCGTATCAAAGTCGTGATCCTGTCCATTCCACGACTCTTCCATCGCCTTCATGGAAATATTAAACTTCCTCAGCACATTGATTCGGCCTGTAATTCGCTCTGGCAATGCTTGACCTCAGCTGCTGGGTTGTACAGCCCGATACCAGAAACGTAGATTAATCATCCTGTACGGAGGAAAAGGAACCTTTTCTTTTGGGAAGCCAGGCATCACAAAAGCAATGAAGCGGGAGTGTTGTTCAAAAGCAACGGAAAAAAGGTTGAATGCACCTGCATTAGCCTCTACACAAGGTTCGCTCGGAACTCATCCCAGGTTTGATTTCAGACCAAGCGGTTGAATCTTGAGGAAAATGTAGCCAAAGAGAGGGAACCGATGGGGAAGCGCGATTCACTCTGATGGCTGTGCTTCCACGCGAACCAACGGTGCCGAAGAAGGCTTTGCCCGATCGACAATTTCTTTGTGTCCGTTCATAACATGTTTCTGTTTTAGTACGCCAAAGGCTGGATGGCGTGAGCTTTGGCCATCGCGTGCTGTCTGTCGGCTTGCTCAAGTCGAAGGAAAAATATCTTAACTACTGCGGCCGGGCCCGTGTGATGACGTTTGCAGCGAACAAGAGCCTTCACCGCGAATTGCAATTTGGGAAAAATCTGCCTTGAGATTTAATTCAAAAAAAAAGCAAACAACAATTCGTGATACAAAAATCGCAGCGATTTGGAGAGCGTGGGTCTAATAGACTATGACGGAGGAAAAGATAACAAATGCAGAACGACTTTCGAAGTATCCTGGACACCGACTAAAATTCGAGTCAGTCCTCCTCCATCCAGAAGCGGGATATCGGGAAATGGACGAGCTGTCCTAGATTTGCGCTTCATGGCTTTCGCGACCACGGACCCGAGTTTATGACCGCGCCGTTACGGGCCCTGATATCGGAGTTCAAAAATTCTTTTATTTCCTTTCCATTGAAAAGCCTGGGCTGACCATTTTCCCAGCATGGCGAGTGGCACTGGTGCTGCTGCGCTGGCTCGTGGAATCATGCTGTTGTGGCCGCTTGCACTGCAGATTTTATTGAACTTTTTCCCCTGAAACTTGAATGCCTCAATAACCCTTTCTGGGTGCAAGCAGCGTGTATGTTACGCACGAGCAAAGCATCATCGCTCCTGTGCAAAAGCACCCATCATATCAAGAGCAGCTATCCTCAACGATAATTCCTGCTTGCGGCAAACGGCCAACAAGCTTCGGGATGTGCACTGCACAGCGAACCTCTCTTCTCGCAGATCGGCTTGATCTGCATGATCAATGCACTCTCCACATCCCAGCGAGTTTTCGCGATGGAAAGCAAAAGCTTACAGAAAACCATGGACAGGCTTCTGACTGCAATTGAATTCACGTACTCCGTCCTCCGTACCTGGACCGGTTACCGATACTCGAGTTTCTTCAAGTGTCCCTTTAATCTCGATGAGGAAGTGTTTCAAAAGCCAGGGCGATGAGAATACGACTTTGGTGGTGAATCGACGCCAGGCGTTTATCCGAAGAGGGTTAAATAGTCAGTGGGGGTGTCTTGTGTCGACGAAAAATAGCCGTGGTTGCTCACCACCCAACAGCCGAGCAGGACGCATGTGAAATCCCAAGGTCCAACGGCGATGAGAGAAACAAGACACCTCACATGAAATATTATCAATCCCAGCGTTCAAGACGTCGACGCCCGTGCTTCAAAGGAAAAATGCAACGAAAACGATCCATCAAGGATGCACGTTGCAGATCGTCAAAGGACATCGTCAATCTCGATCAATAGCGATCACTCTGAAATCACCCATATCGCGCTTTGTTGAAACCTCCAAGCTTCACATCTCAAAGCCCTGGAATCCCAAGACTCTGGGAAGCCAATTTGAATTGAGTTTAGCTCGTCGAGAGAAGTAGACTGAAAGCGTATCGAGCAAGATTATTGCGATGCAACACAAATTCTCCGATGGCTCACGCGAGTCCACTCTCGCAATGCGAGAGAAACACCCGGGTGGCAAGGAACTCGAAAAGCACCATTTCACTCTTGCAGGTGTGCAAGTGACTTTGAGCCCGCCCTTGACAGCGTGGGAAACCGCCGTGTCGACCCATGGCCGCCGTTGCAGTTAATCTCACGCTGCCCTGGTCGCTTCCCTGGTTCTCGACTGTTTCGAGAATGTCTAGGCATTCCCATTCATTCTCATCTCCCTCGTTCTCTCGCTTCTATAGCCCATTATTCCTCGTAGCCTGTAGCCACATGAAACGCAGCCAGAGAGCCCGGTTTCGTGTTCCTGCATCCTTGTGGGATCCCACCCTAACAGCGGAACATTTGACTTGGCAAGTGATGGACGGATACTTTAATGTGGATGGCTTCCCCTCAAGAGGAGAAATATCAGGTGGACGATGGATCATATGGTTTGCTCGCTTCCATCGAGGACCTCTTACCACGGTCCGCAATCCAGAGATTCCAATCTCAAGCTTCCCCAAAGCCGTGACGGGTATTTGTGGGCTTCACGAGTTCACGATCTGCTCCCCAGGGTTTCGACAGGGAGGAGAAATGAGCCCTTCCGGTTCCTGCACCCCTCCCTGGAACCATGGAACGTTCGTCTGGGGTTGTGCATCAAGACTTTTTTAGTCGCAGTTGGGGGTTGTCAAAGTTCTCACCCGCGGCAAAGTCCATCGGCCTTGTCGATTTCGGTGGAGTGCTCAACAAGCGCGATTCAAACTGCACTATTGCTAGACCTGACCCTCATTATCCTGTTTGATGTTAGGGAATATTATATTGTTATTGCCTTTGAATTCTGATAAATAATAGCTCCTCCCGCTATCCTGGGTCATTTATTCATGCATTGCTTTGCTGCAAGTCCTTGAAACCCTGAAACGAGGATTATAAAAGTCAGACGGGCCGGAAACTCATGACGAGCACACGGCACACATTGATCTGTCTGCCTTTCGTTAATCTCTCCGTACCTGGTTGAGAACGGGTCGGAAATGCCTGAGCCGTGCCTGGACGTCGAAAGTGATACTAAAGACGTCTATCAAGCTTGATAGCTTGCTTATCGCTCTTGTTATTACTATTCCCCGCAATTCTTCCCGTTCCCACTTTGCCTAACACTATTACAAACACGTCAATTGGCTGGCAAATTGCCAGGAAACCATCTCGTCGCCTGGTAATTCCCAGAAGCCCCAAGCGTCGTGTCTGAGCAAACGAACAAGGGCTAAAAAGTGCGTGGACTGCACGATCTGATACCCGTTATTTTGGCGGTTCAATCTCTCGTCGAGACGACGGGCCTGCGTTGCCTTGTTTCGTTCACGGCCTGGTACACCTCTCCCAAAGAGAGAAGATTTGCATGATATCCCGCTTCTGGGTTCATAGTTTCGGGAAGCCCTCTGCAGGTCGCTTTAAAATTTCCACCTTTCGAGATTTGTATACGTATACATAGCGATATGTATCTTTTGTTACGGAAGTACCTCTCCGGATTGCGGGCCTCATGAGATAAGCGTTCCATCGTTATTTTGGAGGTGGTCTGATCAACCGGCTCTGTCGTGAAATTTCAGTGCATGAATTGAATGCAGATAAGACAAGGCAGGATTGTCCCAGGCTTCGGGTGCTCTGGTCCTCGCTCGACTTCTTCAACGGGTCTACTGAGCTTTTGCTCAAGCTGAGAGACTTGCGTTTTGTTTCCAGTTCGTGATTGCTCATTGCTGTTGGAGCTTGAACGCATTGACCGCTACGAGTCTGTCCAACTCATCCCTGGGGACGGCTCGAGGCGCAAATATCTTGGTGCAGGCCAGAGACCCGTATCTATTTCTACTTTGGCCACGTTCCTTATCACTTCTAGCGCAGCTGAACATGTGGAGGACAAGGATGACAAGCAGGGCCTTCTCAATAAGAATACCCACGAACTGGCGGCAAATGACTTTTTTATATTAGGGCCAGGATATGATGTGATGAAAATAAACCCTGGTCTTATCGTTGACTCGGTAGTAACTAGGATTTTTGATTGATCGTCAATAAATCAGATTGTATCTGATGCCAGAAGAGGGACTGATATTCCTCATTGATTTCCGTCGTCGCAGTTGACATGGCCCCCCCGTCCCCGAACCACTCGCGGTGAGAAGTTTTCATATCCCAGATCCTAAATAAACAGTATTGTTGGAGTCGTCATTGTGAGTGTCGATATCCAACAACTTTCCATAATGCACCAACACAGAAGGACTATCATCAAAACCGAGTATAAACTCCTGTCCAAGGCCCCTCAAACGCCCCTGGATTCATTCAGCTCGACAAGACTGGCAACTTGTGTCACTCATATTTGATTATGAAGTGGGAAATCTCACTTATGTTTTGTTTCAGTCCAACTCTGATAACATCACGCACCGAGCAAAGGTCGAATATGAGCCCACAGAGAAACAATTCGTACGGAACATGGTAATATCCGGCCACTTTCTATCATTAAGAGCAAGCCAGGGAAGAGAATAACCTTCCAAGCACCAAAAAAAAAACGATTTCACAACAGTTGCAATAAGGAAAAAGTTCTCAAACGATTTTTGAATTTGGAAAATAGAATCGAGGACTCTTGCATCGGCAAGTCGACTTCCGGGCTTCAGAGGAAATGTCTTGTTGAGATCATCGCTCATAGTGAGCATCAGTCTCTTCCTATTTATATTTTCACAGGTACACTGCGTGTACCCCATCATCAGCCCTGAAGAAAGAAAAGAAAGAAAAAAAAAGACAAACGAAAATCTGAAAATTCTGATCCCACTATCTTGCTTACATAAGCTTCTCGATTCCACGCTAACCCCAGTCCAGCCTAGCATCTGGCCTTTAAATACCTCCCACAACCATCTTTTTTCTTTCCTTTTCTTTTCTCTTTTTTTTTCTTTCCTCGTGCGGCGTGCGCAGCCCAAATTTTCACCCGTGTTGCCTATGCATCTGGTCCCCCCTTCTTGGGGGGATACACAATGATGATTTTACTCTTAGGTGTCGGCTGCGTTCCAGAGAAATGAAAAATTGCACGTTGATTCGTACTTTACTGGTTGTTTCGTTCAGTCTTCCTTTGGAAGTTCTGTATGGGAAATGGCCATTTGGTTTGGGATCAAACATCTCTTTTTTTTACCCTTCCTAGCGTTTGGTTGAGGATGATGGGAAAGGTATTGTGTATGGAGTAGATAATGTTAGGATAGTCAAATGTCACTCCCTGTCCTTGATTGATTTGTGCTGAGCTTGACCTGTCCATTGTGAATATTGGGAGACAAGGAATCAGCCCAAGCGTTTGGCATACTAACCAGCCACTCGTTGCTATTCTCGCAGAATGGTTGCACGGTGAGAAGAGTCCCAGGGCGATTGATAACATACTTCTATTTGAATACACAGTTTTCGAGGGTAATTGGAGATTGCCCAAGGGGATCCCTCTCTTTACTCTCCTCCAGCTTCTCCGAATTTCTCCAGCTTCCCCATTTCCCTCTTCTCGCCTGATTCACCAAATAATCTTAACCTATCCAGCCGAATCTTGTCTCCATCCCCATCCCCATCCACGAAATATGCAACCACGGACGAGACTCGTTGGAATTTCACGAAGCGCAACTCCACCACGGCAGTACCCGTCTTCGCGTCCCAGTCTTCTGGCGCAATCGTGATCTCCTGTGTCGGCTGGATATCGTCTGCTTCGTCAAACCCGATGATATGTGATCGATTGGTATAAAACTTGATTGTCTTTGGGCGCATGGGAACTTCGTCATCCCCATCTTTCGGAGGGAGGGAGGTGATATGTAACGAGTGAATCTTCAACGAAGCCTGGAATGGCATAAACAGCATCAACTGTTCGTCCGCGTCACTCTCTACCCAGTCGGGCTTGCCCTCCTCCTTGGCCTTTGGTCGTAGAGCGGAAGGTTGCGACTTCCCGAAGAGGACCCTGCCGGGCGCAATGTCGTTGTCGCAATTGAGTAAATCTATGTCCTTCACCTCCACGTTCTCGGTGATGTCTTGGTAGCTCTTGGGGGTGGCTGCTCCCAACCACATGGCGCCAGTTTCGGAAGATTCGCTATCAGCTGCTGCGTTTCCGCCCTCGCTAGCTGTAGCAAATTCTGCCACTGCACTGGTAAGGCCTTGTGCATTTGCGCCCTTGATTGTTTTGACAAGGTCACCATCCTTGAAGATCAGAAACGTGGGCATCCTAAGAGTTCGGGGAGCGCATATTAGCTGGTGCCTCGTGCAAGGTCAAAAGAAACCCCGAGTATCTAGGATCGCGAGTATACTCACGCAGTAACTGAGAAGGCCCCGGATATCTCTTGCTGTTGATCAACATTGACCTTCGTAAACGTGACTTCATTCGGACGCGAGAAGCGCGCGGATAACTGCTCATAAACCGGGGCGATGGTCTTGCATGGTCCACACCAATCGGCGTAAACTACGATACTTGACAGTTAGCAAAACGCGTCTTTGTAGTAATTCGAACCCAGGGCTTGATGACAGGTAGCTGAAGACTCTAGGGCGCGGGGTAGAGCGGGGGAAAGGGAATGTAATTTGGGGGGATAGGAGGTTGTAGATCCAAACTCACAATCCGCAACAAGGATCTTTGAAGAGGTGAGCAGCTGGAAGAACTGTTCTGAAGACGCGATAGACACTGGTTTAGCCATGTTGTTGGTGGTTGGTTGTGAAGGGAAGAAAGTGACGTCTCGTTCCTAAGTTAAATGCAACCAGCTCCGTTTCAGGGCACGTTGGTGAATCCGCTGGTTGTTCCTCATCAACATGTATCCACGCACAAAAGTGCAAGGGAAACCAAGGTTTTTTTGAAAGAGATTATTGTAAGGCTATATATCTATATTGAAAGTTGAGGCTATGCGTTGATCTCAAAGCTCAAAAGATATCTATTTTGGTTTCTATTCGTTTCACCGGGATTTGAGAATGCTCTCTCGTTAAAGACATATATTTTAGTAGGGAACCATCAGACACTGTTTAGGATTGTGCTTTCTCTCAATCCTATATCCGGAGTAAGCAAATGTATCTCAACTTTCCAACCATGATGATTGGCCAATCTAGCGTGGCGGGAACGGAGATTCGTGATGCTCGAGTCTCCGATCTGTTCAATCCAGTGGTTTCCGAAGAGTGAAACACCTTGAAGGTACATATATTTATATTCAGCCATGTGCGCCTTTGGAAATCCGCCTCAAAATCGTGATGTGAACGCGGTGCCTTTGATCAAAAGGCCATTTCCAAAAGCAACTAACCGTGTCTCGAGGAATTCCCCGAATCAAACGTAGAATCTGGATACCGCCTCTTAAGCTTCTCAGGAGTTTCCATCCACCCCATCCTCGACTTGATTGACCTCTTGCCCGCCTTCATCAACCGCGAACAGAATCTTAGCCCACAGGCTACATCCCTGACACCCAACCATTATCTCCCCTCTCTCCAATTCGTTCTCCAGATCTCCCTCAGAAACCAGAAAGCCCTTTTGGTCTCCGCACCTACAGCCCTGATACCAAAACTCAGCACCATCTGGCTCCTGTCCCGCCTGCATATCATCCAAATCAAACACCTCTAAACCAGTGTGAAATGGCTGGCCTTCTTTCTTTCCGGAGTGCTTGGCGCCCCCGCCATCAGCGCTGGAGAGGCATACCAGCGAGCGGTCATATTCGATTCTTGCGCGCGGATCAGACAGCACTTTATACGCTGCGGTAATTTGATCGACCGTGAAGGCCTGGGAGGCTCCCGGACGAGAAGCGGTGATTTGTAAAGGCGTAGTATCTCGTGAGGGAGTCGAAGAGCTAGATTTGTCCGGATGGTGCTTCAATAAAGCACGGTGGTAAGCACCTTTCAACTCGGCTTTTTGCACGAGGGTTGGAGGATACGGTAGTTCGAGGATATCATAATGCGTCGCATGGAATGTGGATTCTCCCATTGGCGGACGTTTTGCTTCATGAAGGAGGCTCTAGCGACTTGTCATGTAAGTGCCCACGCATTCTTAAAAATCCCTTATATTGCTGCAGGAGTAACAAAATGTCGTGGCGGAGTTTGTGGGAACCAATGACTAAGCAGACTGCCAACGGGTATGCTCTGTACATGAAAGTAACTAGATTACCAAGGCAGGTTTGTTTAGAAGTAATCGTTATGTTTCCACCTCCAGGCCTCGCTGATCTGGCCGCGGTTTACATGCGTTGGCGCGTTTTGTTGTAAATGGGTATTATGTCGTCCTGCTTTTGACGGATAGAGGTGCGGGAAGTGTTTGTTCTGAATCCGGATAAAATGCCGCATTAAAAATTGAAATCCGAGCGCAAATCCTCCCTGCTATATAAAGACGTGATATGTCCCTTCGTGTCCTTTTGTCTTGCCACAAACTGTGATAAATCCTCATTGCTCTATCTAGCTTGTCTTCAACAAGAGAAATGCAGAACCAGAACACAGAGTCGCGAGGCCTCTACCCCAGAATCGCTTCACTCGAAGAATCAAGAGGAACAGGAGTGGAGAGATCTATAACGTTCAAAGACAAACTATCTAGGGCGACAGTAAGAGAGACGACCTAAAATAACTGCAAAATTTTCTCACTAACGTACAAATTAATAGAGGGCTAAGGCGGGTTAAACAGCATATTCGATCAAAAGTACAAAACATGGTCGCGATCAACTATTCCATCTATTCGCTGGCCTTGAAAACATAGCGGTCTTCAGCCTTGGAGGCGAAAGGCACGCCAAGCTCGAGAAGCTTGACAAACACTTCCGAGAACTCCTTGAAGAAGACATCGCTGTCCTTGGCGTATCGTTCAACGTGCTTCTTGAATTCTTTGTCCTTCACCAAAGCCATATCGGTTGGCAGCATCATCAAGGTCTTGGTGCTGTTGTCGGTGAACTGCTTGGGGCCGTTCCACTATTCACTAGGTTAGTCGCAGTTTCAACTTCGCCAGCGAAGGTGGACGAGAGTATACCTTTCTCTGAACCCACTTCTCATCAAGAAGGAGCTTGAAGAAGTCATTGGTGAAAACCGTAGGGCTGAAGTCCCAGGGTCCGTCATATCCAGATCGGTCAGAGTGGGCACGTCCAAGAGCGTGAGCGCCAGAAAGTGCGACCATCTCGCGATCATCGAAACCCATGCGGCCGAAAATGGCTCTGATGTGCTTCTGGTCCTTGGACGCGTCGGGAAGGCGGCCATCGGGCGTGCAGGCAGACATATCGGAATCCTTACGGCCGGGGCGCCATGGGATGGTAGGTCCACCAAGCTCTTGAATGGCACAGGCACCAGCAAGCGTCCACAGATCGGAATAGGTAATCCAGGGGAATTTCTCTAAAGAGGGGAAATTGCGACTATTAGTAAATGCAACCGCAAATGTCCCTGGTTGAGCTCGGATTTAAACTCACGTTTAACAGGCTCAAGGAAATCTCTCGCGGCCTTCAAGCCAGCATTGGCTCCGTGATCCGACTCGGGAGCGAAACGCATGGTAGCGCCGTTGCTTCCTCCAGTCCCGGTTTCCTTGTCGTAGGTACCGCTAGCATGCCACGCCAAACGAACAAGCACCTGATATCATTTTGGTCTTAGCCTCATGACTCGGATCCAAGAAAGTGGAAGCTATGCAATGACTTACCGGTCCATAGCTTCCATCATCATAGTCATCCTTCTCAATGAGAAGACGTGCGATTTCGTCATAAACTTTCTGGAAGTCCTCCTTGGTTGGGTCGGTGATAACGGTCGGCTTTGCCGAGTTGGACAGCTGGTTACCGCCCAAATAGTAGAAAGCACCAGCACCACCAGCAGCAACAGCAGCGAGAGACCAAAGGAGCCCGGACGGCGACTTCTTGCCTTCAGCGCCGGAAGAGTATCCTCGACGCGAAGACGCGCGGAAAGCGTAGGCGGGAGTGGTGAAGCGGAGAGAGCTACGTGTTACCGAGGACTTTGCGGAAGAGGTCGCGGGGGTAGCTCGAGCAAAAGCTCTCGTGAGGGTGCGTGCTGCGGCAGCCATGTTGTGTGCTGACGTCGATGAAATAAAGAGCAACTTTGTCCGGATTCGTCGATGACTTGAGAAATGAGGAGTTTGGACGGATTGGAGATCAGAATGGACTGGATGCTGATGGAAGATTTGTGATCAATGGGGGTTTGAAGGACCGAAACTGTGGCTCGGGCGACTTCTGGTTGGTCCACCGAGAGCTTCTCCCGTGCCCGACCAGCCAATCAGGGGTCCAGGGTGAAACGCTTGACCACCACCCAAAACGGAAGGAAGCCGCGAGCTTAGCTAAGCATCCCTCTTGCCAAGCCTTCCTAACTCCGGGATTTGCCCAGAACGCCGCCCGCCTGGAGGGATTGACTGACTGGAGATTCTCATGGAACTACGGAGTATTATTGATATTTGTCTCTAATAAGATATCTAAATGTCCGTCCTTGATTTAGTCCTAACTGCAAAACAAGATATAAGCAGCAGGGTGGAGAAGACGACAGTTCCTGCTAAAAAACTGTTATAGATTTGATCTCCCACTACTTGATAAACGAAGTATGCATCAGTGGCCATTGAAGAAGCACAAGATGCTGGCAATGTTGTGGGTTCTGAGTCCGGCGTTGTACATTTCGCCTGGAGGTTCTCGAATGATATCAGCGCTCTGCCGCTCGGGGGGTGTTGTCAGACCGAGGATGGCCGACTCGACAGGAAACTGTCGAAAGGGCAACTGAGAGCAGTACTCGTCAAGGGAGAGGATTTGGTGTTGTCATTATCTATCACGCAGCAGAATTGGATCAACTGCAAACTGCCACGCAGTATCGAGCTGAGTGGTTCGAGGTTGTTGCTGGTTATTGTGATGGCAACAGAAGATGGATGGCGCGAAGAAATTTTCCTTTTGTGAAGATGCGCTAACCTTAAAATGATGGACTCGGTCCGTTCAAAACCCGAGGATCACGTGCATTTTAAGCTTGCGAACAACAAAAATCTCTCGACTTCATCGAAGTTGTTTCTTCTTCTTTTTTTTTCTTTCCTCACACTTTCTAAAAAAAACCTCTGAACGCATAATCAACCTCCAATCTCCTCTATCCCCATAGGATGGCCAGGTCATATTGGCGTACTAGACTGACGGGCCGAGAGTGGTGTACTTCCTATACTCTCTCGGCTTCATGGACATTTTATAAGGCTTCTTTGCACCGACTTTCAGTGGTCGTGGGAGTCACCTGCTGTCCAAACATATCCTTCCAGCCATCTGTTGGATGATTTCGTAGTATTGATAAGTAGCTATTCGGATCCACTAGGCCGAATGTAGGAACCTACTCCAGGCCTTCGAGACGCTCGCGGGTCCTCATGCAGGTACGGATATTGAAGTCTATCCTACATCATCCGGCCTTATTAGCTACATAAAAAAGAACTGAATGAAGTGGCAAAATGGTTCACTAGTTTCGGAGGGTATCATCATTAAAAGTACAGTACGAAAAAGACCATTATGCTCTCACTCCACGGTCGCAAATACGGGAACCCAAGAGCAAAACGCCGATTCCAACTCCTAGATGCAACCTGGCGCCAAACTAAATATGCCCCCTCCCGTTCAATCATCTGTCGACATTGTCAGTATTTAAACACGGTGGAAGATGGCCGAGATGTGTCCATACTCTTCAGTGATGTCGGTTTCTGCAAACTCAAGCCACTTTCCAGATACGGAACGTTTCCAGAACCGAGCTGTCCCATCGTCTCCGGAGGACATTAGACAGTCACCTACAGTATTTGTCAATCGATTCACATGTTCAATCCCTGGAAATATGTGGAATTGGTGATGCGAAGAACGCACGGGGAACCCATACCTGCGTGAGAGAATTCAAGGAGCCACAAACACAGGTGTTTGCTGTCGAAAGAAGCTACTTCCTTGAAGGTATGCCTAAATGCGCTTTTACCTCCACGTTGTTTGTCTGCGGCAGGGCCGGGCGATCGATGAGCGAGGGCGGATCCGATACCTGACTGGCTAACTGTCGCACGGGTTGACGATGGGCGCTGCGTATTGGCTGGCTTTTCGGACTCAGTATGCCCATTCGTAACATTATTGTTCGCCACAGATGTGTAAAGCTCAAAAATCTTAATGGTGCCGTCTCTTGAACCGCTTGCAATGAGGTCGTATCCCCGCACAGAACCGTGCGCCCATGAAACATCACGCACCAGGCAATGATGCCCAACAAGCTCAATAGCATGATAAAACTGCCGATCGGCTCCCATCCTGTAGATTTTCACCGTATTCATAGCTGCGACTACCAGAGACAGGCTCTTGCTATCCCATGATGGCAGCACAAGATGTGTCATATCACTCGGGTCATGGTGAAATTGGACCTTGAAGCTAGTTTCCTCACCGCGCTGAGGCTCGGTGCAGACACGGAATTGATCAATTTGCTGCCATTCCGCCAAATTATCCTCTCCAACTGGTTCTAAGATTGTGAGGAGACCATCTCGGGTAATCACTGCAAGCCAGGAGTCGAGGTCAAGGTTGCGGAAGTCCATGGAAACGTAGGGAGTGCGCACGGGAGAAGTGAGGCGGAAGATATTTCGAAAGCGACGCCCGGAGTTTGGAGCCTGGGTGAGATCTTCCTGCCAAAGCTTGAATTTCATGTCGTTGCCCACAGTTCCGATATGTTGACCGGTAAATGGGCCATTCCACGCTGCCTGTTGGTGAGAAAATGGGTGTTAATACGCATATCACAGCCACCGGAGATATCAACTTGCCAGTCAACTAACATCATATATTTCAGCATCATGGGCGCGCCATGTGTCTGTAAGTTCCCAGCCGGTTTCATTCTGGTCCCAGACCTTGACCCGATGATCTGACGAGGCCGTGAGAATGCGATTGCCGTACCAGTTGAATTTAATCACGTTGACCTGGTCGCGATGACCGATTTCGAATTCTGTAAAAGCTGGCATTTCCAGTCATGCTCGCAGAGCTATCGTTCTGTTCCCTTGATCGATTACTTCTACGGAGTAGAGAGCTTGAGCTTCCAACACAGCTCTGGGGGAGGTGGTGGGGAAGCAGCCAATCAAATAGCTCACATAAACAATATCACTTTCCGCCCCTGAGGGACTGGAACAAAGTGACGGAGAACTTTGAAATAGTCCTTGGGATTGGATTTTTGCATTTCTAATATTTTCTGCCTTCTACAAGTTAAACCCATTACTGTTCTCTTGACCTTTTTGAACTTGGCCTGATCAAACGAAAACGGCTTCTGTTGCTGCCCGCAAGGCGCACTCTGCCTACCATGAAAGTGATATGGGCACCCTCGATCGTGGCTCAGTCCCCATCTCGACCGCCATGTCGTCTGCGATGTATTTGCCGGTTTTAGCTGGTCAGTTAGTTGATAGAACCCAGTACAGGGTACCTTGCATTGATTGCATCATGCTGTCCAGTTGGTGGACGTGGTGTTCAAAGGTCATTGAAGTTGATAAATGTTACCAATCAGGCGATTAACTAGTTAACTAGCTGAAGGGCATTTGAGAATACTGAGAGTGTGTTGATCAAGAAACTTTGAGCTCTCTTGGTTAGTTACTATGAATAATAGTATTGCTGCTGGAATGCGCCAACGGCTTGCCAAGTATTGTAAGAGATCTGACATAGGAGATCTAAGATAGGGAAAGAGCAGCAGGTCTGGAATGGGTTGGGCTTGCATTGGAGCATGCTTCAACTTGTTACAAGAGAGCAGCTTTAGAAAAGAGAAAAGAAATGATTAAGAATGTCTATCCAAGCTTGCTAAATATCAAGATAGGCGGTGAACCATGGCAATAATAACCTAAAATTAGCTGAGAACAGCTTGCAACATCCTGAACTTTAGCACAACAGAAACTGACAGCTTTCTTTTTCTCCTTTTCTTAAAGGTTTGAGGGATTTGACTATGTGATTTGGTGGTGTATTTCGACATGATAACCACTCTCACCCGGACAGAAACATGGAGCCTCCTTACAGCTCTTGTAGCATGCTTCGGGGTTATTGTGAATACATTCCAAGGCGATGGGGAACCGTTGATAGCATCACTAGCTCTGAGCGGCATAGCTTTTGTTGTGGCATTCAGCTTGATACGATGGCTAGGTGCTGTATTCATGAAGGCTGGTTTGAAAGGGAAGGATATGTCCAAACTGAGACAGATTGAAATGTATGTCAGTGTTGTATTAGGGTTATGGTAGCCTTGCTAATCTGGGCTGCTTTTAGACCAGAAACCATGGGTGCTATTTGTGCAATTGTGTATATACTGGCAATTATTGTCTTTATTCCATTCCCTTTTTATAAAGATATCGTTGCCGCAACGTCTGGAGGCGGTAATCGCGATGTTGTCTTGCCCGTTGCGCATGTAGAGACTGGGCGATTCCTGCATCGTTTCCCTCACAATAAGGTGAAGTGGCCCCAGAAATGGTTGGTGAGGCCTATTTGACTGATTGGGTTAGTTTTGATGCGACAGCTTGCATCTTACTTATCGGGGCTACTGTCATTGCAATCCATCGTTATCCTAGGCATAGGGGACGATCTCCTCGATATTCGATGGCGACATAAAGTGCTGATACCAGCATTTGCCGCTATACCGATGCTTATTGTATACTTTGTGGACTTCGGAGTCACCCAAGTGGTCGTCCCTGTTGCCCTACAGAGATATCTAGGATCGATGATTGATTTGGGCTGGCTGTATTACGTGTATATGGCGGCCGTGGCAATCTTCTGTCCTAATAGCATTAACATGCTTGCAGGCATTAATGGAATCGAGGTATCGCAATCAATCGCCATCGCGATTCTCTTAATCGTCAACGACGCAATGTATTTGGCTCCAATCACCCCATATCCTCACCCGGCCACGGATTCGCACTTGTTCTCGATCTATCTCTTACTTCCATTTATCGCTGTCTCACTAGCGTTATGGTGGCACAATTGGTATCCTGCAAAAGTGTTCGTGGGAGACACCTATTGTTATTTTGCGGGAATGGTGTTTGCCGTGGTGGGAATCCTAGGACATTTCAGCAAAACTCTGCTGCTTCTCTTCGTTCCGCAGATTTTCAATTTCCTTTATTCCACGCCACAGCTTTTTCACTTGATGCCATGTCCGAGACACCGACTGCCGCGATTCAACGCTCGAACGGGGCTCCTGGAACCATCTGTCGCTCAGTGGCCGCGACCACCGAAAAGGCCAATCGCGATCGCCCTTGAGATTCTAAATCAGCTCCATCTAGTACTGATTAAGAAAAACGAACAAGGGGAGATTGTCGAATCGACTAATTTAACCCTGCTGAACCTTTGGCTTATCTGGTTTGGGCCTTTACGGGAGGATAAACTCGCGGTGCACGTAGTCGGGATCCAATTCTTCTGCGGGTTCATTGGTTTGCTGGCCAGACATAAGCTTGCGTTATGGGTGTTCAGGGAGGATAACCGTGGATTTGGATCAAATCCAGTATAGATTTGGGGCACATGTCGTGAATAGAATATGTATGATATCGATCTCTTCCATTCTGTCGGCCGCACAAGCTCTCTCCGCACTCGGCGTTGCTGGTCAAACTCGCCTCCGAAACTCGGCCTCCCGGTTTCGCCGCTGATACCCGCTGGCAACCAATCAGAACTCGCTACTTTGCGATGACCCCCGATTTCGGGCCGCCCCTCGTTGGAATCGAAGAGCTATATCACTGACTTGAGTTCCTCTACAGCTTGCTCAGAGTCATTCCACACTTTTGACATTTCGACATTTCTTCGGTGCTCCGGAATTCCTTGATCCTATAGTTGATATCCAGAGCATTAGAAAGAATACAGTATGCCTTCGGCAGAAAGGAAACCAAAGACCTTGTATGACAAGGTTTTCCAGGACCATATTGTCAACGAGCAGGAAGATGGCACAATTTTGCTCTATATCGGTATGGAAGCTCGTGCTTTGTGATGTCTCTCTTTCTATGCTAATGCGCCCGCAGATAGACATCTCGTACATGAAGTGACATCACCAGTGAGTTCCTTTTAATCCCTGTTCCTTAAGCCCAGGACCATATGCTAACGGTACCCGCAGCAAGCATTTGAAGGATTGAAGAATGCCGGGCGTCCAGTGCGAAGGCCTGACTGTACTTTAGTTACAGTGGATCATGTACGCGTTGTTCCTGAGCCCCTTTCTTCTTCCATGGCTAACGAGTTGGTAGAATATTCCCACTACATCACGGAAAACCTTCAAAAACGTCTCCGAATTCGTTCAGGAAGCCGACTCTCGTTTACAATGCATGACCCTCGAAGAAAACGTGAAGGATTTCGGTCTTACATACTTTGGGCTTGGAGACAAGAGACAGGGAATAGTTCACGTCATTGGCCCGGAACAAGGGTTTACTCTGCCAGGTACAACAGTTGTCTGCGGAGACAGCCACACCTCAACCCATGGAGCGTTCGGAGCTTTAGCGTTCGGTATCGGAACCAGCGAAGTCGAACATGTGCTTGCGACGCAGACCCTGATCACCAAGCGGAGCAAAAACATGCGCGTGCAAGTCGAGGGAGATCTCCCACCAGGGGTTACGAGTAAAGATATTGTGCTCCACGTTATTGGCGTAATTGGAACCGCAGGAGGCACAGGCTGTGTCATTGAATTTTGCGGCTCCGCTATCAGAAAACTCAGTATAGAGGCAAGAATGTCTATTTGCAACATGTCTATTGAGGCTGGCGCCAGAGCTGGTATGATCGCGCCTGACGAAATCACTTTTGAGTACTTGAAGGGGAAGCCTCTTGCGCCCAAGTATGACAGCGCAGAATGGAAAAAGGCGGTCAAGTATTGGTCAAGTTTAAGATCCGACGAAGGCGCTACATATGATAAGGAAGTTTTCATCGATGCCAAAGAGATCATCCCCACAGTTTCGTGGGGCACGTCTCCCCAGGACGTCGTGCCCATCACTGGCGTTGTCCCCGGACCAGACGATTTTGATGACGAAACCAAGAAAGCAAGCGCTCGAAGGGCTCTTGAATACATGGGTCTTACTGCCGGAACGCGCATGCAGGATATCCCAATCGACAAGGTCTTTATCGGTTCTTGCACGAATTCCCGGCTTGAGGATTTACGCGCTGCTGCCCGCATTGTTGAGGGCAGACGAGTAGCACCCAACGTGAAGAGGGCCATGATTGTTCCGGGATCTGGCTTAGTCAAAGAGAGAGCAGAAAGCGAGGGATTGGATAAGATTTTTCTTGATGCTGGATTTGAGTGGAGAGAAGCCGGCTGCTCGATGTGCTTGGGCATGAATCCGGATATTCTCTCCCCGCGAGAGCGATGCGCCAGTACTTCGAACAGAAACTTCGAAGGCCGACAAGGAGCAGGAGGGCGGACGCATCTCATGTCACCGGCAATGGCTGCCGCTGCTGCCATCGTTGGAAAGCTTGCTGATGTTAGAGACTACGCGCACGCAAGCCCTGCCGTCAAACAAGGCTCGCCCAAAATTGAAGTTCAGCCGGAAGTAGACGACATTGAAACTGAAGATGACCTTGACCGTATTCTCGATTGCCCTAAGGATAACGAACCTCATGCCAACACTTCTGCCGCCAAATCTTCTGTTGGTCTCCCCAAGTTCACTACACTCAAGGGTATTGCGGCACACCTTGACCGTGCGAACGTAGATACCGACGCTATCATCCCGAAACAGTTCCTCAAGACTATCAAGCGTACGGGGCTCGGCAGTGCACTCTTTCACGCCCTTCGATATAATGAGGACGGTAGCGAAAACCCAAATTTTGTTCTCAACAAGGAACCATACCGTAGGAGCAAGATTCTTGTGAGCGGAGAAAACTTTGGTTGCGGAAGCTCTCGAGAACATGCTCCATGGGCGCTCCTCGATTTTGGTATCAAGTGTATCATTGCACCGTCGTACGCCGATATCTTCTTCAACAACACGTTCAAGAACGGTATGCTTCCCATCATAATACCAGATGCCGCAACGATAAAGAAGATCACTACGGAGGCGGAAAGTGGCAACGAAATCGAGGTAGATTTGGTTAACCAACGCATCAATGATGCCGCGGGCAACAAACTTGCAGACTTTGACGTGGAGGAATTTAGGAAACACTGCCTTGTGAACGGCTTGGATGATATCGGGCTTACCATGCAGATGGAAGAGCAAATCAAGAAGTTTGAGACACACCGTACGCTGGAAACGCCTTGGCTCGATGGGAGCGGATACTTGAAGCGGAGAAACGGCAAACGGAATGGCCCAGTCATGGTTGAGGCAGCCCCCGTTCCAAAGACGAATCGAGGAGAAGTGAAGGGAGAGCCTCTCGAATGGTGAAAAGTGCACATGTTTCTCCTTTCTTCTCTTCTTCTATTGACGGCTCCGATTTTTATGCTTGATTCCTCTTGACTGATAACATAGCGCTCGGGTTATTTTTGATATCAGCGATATCTTCAATTCACGTGAAATATGTTTATAATGTGAATATAAACTAGCCTTGTTTTCCTTTTAATCCTGTGTACCTCTATGCCATTCTCCGCATGAGTCGGCAGCAGACCTCAACTGGTTACTGCCCCACGGGACTTACACATATTGAAATAACATCCTATTCTGCCAGAGACGCCCCCAGGGTGTTCGACGCAGAGAGATCTCTCGACCGTTGCGAGAGCTCTGAAGTCCGGAGGGGGCCTAGGTGTGCTACCCATGACCTGGAAGCGCTTCACACTGTCACATTTCACTCTAAAATCGCCGCATACAGTTCCAAGAGATCGGCCTTCAATACTCCGGTATTCTAATGGGATATGTCTCGGAACGAAGACCATTGGGAAAAAGCTCAGGTTGAGGGTGAAAAGGCCAAGATTACCTATTAGTTATGTCAATGATCACAGTGGACGCTTGGAAGACTTCAAGATTAATACTGTGAACCAAACAACCTGAAGCTGATGTTGTGTGTAGTAGTATTTCAAGCGTCCAGAGTGAGTATTATGAGACCAGTAGGATGCTGGATGAGCAAATGGGAGACAAACAAAACAAACATTAACTACTAGTTAGTTAACTAACTACTTGGTGGTCAAGTTCTCAACGACAAACGAGAGATGACATTCCTTCCTATGTGCAGAGCTAGAGTGTCTGCTGGGTTCAATATGTACTTCTTGCTGAGGGAAGTGCTGTCTGGGGCAGCTGGCTTTACCCTTCGCCATCGCTGCCACTTCCACTTGAACTTTCCTTCTGTGCTGACCTTCCCGATGGTGTCTACTGCTGGTGCTTGGGGCTTTTCTCAGCTACTGTGTCAAATTCAGCAAATATGTGACTACGGGCCCCCGGATGTATGCTTGCCGTCTAGCCATCCGTATCACTACAGTTTAGAATGAAGCCCCGTCGGGGTTCAAGCCTTATCCACAATATCGACTACATGCACCCAGCAAGCCTTCCTGTGGTGCGGTGGATATTAGCAACAGTCTTGGTTATAACATGGGCTGCTCCCGCGACATGCTGGCCTTATGACCCCAACGAGGTCGGATACAACCTCAACGAGAACAAGAACGCCGCTAGCCCTGCTGAATACTCGGGGAAGTGGCCAGACCACAAATATTTCCCTTCACCTGAAAATTGGAGATTCCCGTTCTACACTCTTTTCGTGGACAGATTTGTGAACGGTGACCCGAACAACGACAATGTCAACGGCACCACATTTGAGCGGGATGTTAACTCAAACCAAATGCGGCATGGCGGAGACGCTCTGGGCCTGGTTGACTCGTTGGATTACCTTCAAGGCATGGGAATCAAGGCAAGGCTTGCCGTCGGGATTCGTATATTCTCGCCAGTGCACTAACATTTTACCCGCTAGGGAATATACATCGCTGGGACAATCTTGATCAACGAACCATGGGGAGCTGACGGATATTCGACCCTCGATACGACGCTCCTTGACCGCCACTTTGGCAATATGGAAACATGGCGATATGCCATCACTGAAATACATAAGCGAGGCATGTATATTATTATGGACAATACCATTGCAACGTATGTACTTTCCCTGAGACCGTTTTACAGTTGGTTTTGGAGCTGGGAATTAACTCAATATCAGACTCGGAGACCTTCTTGGGTTCCAAGGCTATTTAAACACTACTACCCCTTTTCAAATCACGGAACATAAAGTTACTTGGAAATCGGATAGGAGATATGTCGATTTCCACCCGGGAAACCATTACAACGAGACTTGTGACTATCCAAGGTTTTGGGACGA